ATGAAGAACCGGGGTAACTTTGATTATTAAGCTTAACAGAGCCTCTGACCGTGTGCGCGCCCTGCAGCAGTAGACAGGTGACACGCACGATAAACATTGCACACGCCGCGACCGCAGATAATCTGAAGTTGCACAGCATTACGCTTGAGAGCTTTCAGGGCTTTAAGTTCCGGCTTTAACTAGGAAACGCGAACACGTACGTCATACAGGTAAATTGCCAATTGATCGTGACCACAATCACTTTATTTCCCCATTGGTCTCCGCAATTGCCGGAGCTGTCTCGGAGGCCTTGGTTTTGCCTTTCGTTGGACACCGTTGTACACGCCCATTTGCAGTATTATATACAAACAAATCTGCAGAAAACGAAAGTAATGTATAGCAACCTCTGAAGAGAGCAACGCTTCGAGATAGCTAATTGTGCACTTGACGTAGTAAATAACTATGTCTACTTAGGACAGGTAATAACCGCGGAGCCAAACCACGAGATTGAAGTAACTAGAAGGATAAGAATGGGCTGGAGCACATTTGGTAAGCACTCTCAAATCACGACAGGTACATTGCCACTATCACTGAAGAAGAAGGTATATAACAGCTGCATCTTGCCAATACTTAGCTACGGAGCAGAAACCTGAAGACTTACAAAGAGGGTTCAGCTTAAATTGAGGACGCAGCGAGCAATAGAAAGAAAAATGGTAGGTGTAACCTTAAGAGACAAGAAGAGAGCAGAGTGCATTGGGGAACAAATGGGGGTTAAAGATATCATAGTTGAAATCAAGAAGAGGAAATGGACATGGGCCGGGCATGTAGTGCGTAGACAGAATAACCGCTGGTCATTAAGGGTAACTAACCAGATTCCTAGGGAAGGCAAGCGGGTTATAGGGAAACAGAAGGTTAGGTGGGCAGACGAGATTAAAAAGTTTGCGGGTATAAATTGGCAGCAGCAAGCACAGGACCGAGTTGACTAATGGAACATGGGAGAGGCCTTTGTCCTGCAGTGTACGTGGTCAGGCTGATGATGATGATAATGATGATGATACAAACGAATGACAACCGTCAATAAAACATTCTAACATGCGTAATAAAACAGTTCAACGCACAGGAAGTGAGAGATTGATGGAGAAGGCAACTGCAAAGGCGAAAATTGCCAGGGCTATTCGTGCCGAATAAAGCGAGCTTTGTACCACTAATCGTAAGATAGATTGCTAATGTATGCACTTCATCGCTTTGGCATCATTCGTATGTCCAAGTTTAATACATTTAGATGTAACACAACGAACATCGATGTGCTTGCCTCTGAACTCGATGTCATGATATCCTCGCTTGCACTTAGGTGCCAGTTGCAGTACGCCGAAATAACTAAAACATCTTTCGCATTGTACCCGCAGTTTGTTTTGATGCGCTTCCTACTTTTCTGAAGGGGGGTTGGATTGAAGGAAGAAGCTTGCCAGGTCCCCGATTTTCAGGAAACCACACCTAAAGTCCAACCAAAAAGAAGGGCCTATGTATGTTCCTTGCAGATGGCTTGCTTTGCACTACCCATTTATGGCTGGCGCATCGATGGGGCATGGGCAGAGTCGGACGTCTATTGACAAGAAGTATCGAGCACGTTGAAGGTGCTCCAAAGAGTCATCAATCCGGGGTAGGGGATAGACGTCCTTCTTGGTAACACAACTGAGCTTGCACTAGTCAATGAAAAAAGGCATCATTCAGTCTTTTTTTTTTTTTTTTTTTTTGAGAACCACGGGTGACGTCTACACACTGGTGGAAGGCTGTATGATATCGCCTGCAAGAATTTGTTTGACTTAGTCTTGGATGGCATCTTGGTCCCTATGAGAGATGTGGTAAGCACACTGGCGTACGGGCCTTCCATTCGTGTTTGCGATTACTGTGTTTCGTGATGGGCATTTGGTCCACCCTTAAAGGAACACTAAAGGCAAACACCAACAATTTATGTCAGAGTGAAAGCTGAATGTACAACTGTCTAAAACGTCAATATTATCAAGAACAGTGCCCTACTTCCAAGAAACTAAGCTAAATGTATCACATGACGAGCACCGCGAGTAGAACTTCTTTTTTAATGATGCAAATGATGTGAGTGCATCCGACTGCAATTAATTGCTAGTAATCGAACTAGTTGCAATAAATAAAGAACCATCCATGCATTAAGAGACGTAATAAAATGGTGCTTCTTTTCTGTTTGAGCTATAGAAAGAGCCGCCTGGCGATACTATGGGGAAACTTTGAGGCACGTGCTCGCTTTTTTTTTTTAAAGAAGAAGCGAGCATGCGCCTCTAGACCAGCCTTGGCAGAAAATTGTTCAGTAGCCATTGTTGCTGCTGTGGCTCCCACTACTATCACTCTGCTGTTACTAGTGTCCGCAGCTGCGCAGTAAAGGCGGACAGCGTTGGGCATGGCAAACAGCGACGTGAGAAAGGCTGCTTTGAGGCGGGTGATTTGAAGTGCGCTAACGTGATGCAAACCGCTAAAACATGATTTTATTTCAAAATAAGGACTTTCAAGGCACAGAAGTAACACTACTTGTATTCTGGACCGCTATTTCAGCAATCAACATTGACATATTATTTCCCTTTGGTGTCCCTACTATGCTAAGGCAAAACAGGCCGCAAAAGATTCTAAAAGGCTTCGAAGGCTAGCCTGTTGGACACTCGACGTTTTCCAATTCACATCAATCCTAACGTGGGTCCGAGCTTTGTGAGAATCTCTGACATGTGGTTCAACTGTGAACGAATCAGCAGAATCATTGATTGGCTCCAAATGGGCGATCACAGTTTGTGAGGCGAAACACTGATATTCATGGCTGAAATTTGTCAATAAAATCTGTGCTCTTCATGACAAGGCTGCAGGATGCCTCGAACTATGCAGACCTACCGAGAGAACAAGACTGACAGATTACCCTCCACGTTGCTGAGAATGGAAGCGTCATCATCAGTTTCCACATTGATGAATGCAATGCTTCGCGGCGGTGAAGTAGTGCAGTCACCCGAAATATTTAACCCCGAAGATTGTACATGGTGGTCAGTTCACTGAAAGAAGTCCCAAGCAGCTCGCAAAGGTTCATAATCACCTTGTACAACGGAAAGAAGTCTATGCCCAGTATTTACCTGGAACGCTCGGGCAATATTTTCATATTGCTGCTCTCAATAGAAACACTGGTGTCGAGAACCCTGAAAAGAGTGTCACAGTGCTTGGGAATTAATAAATATGTTTTAGTTACAGCTACCTTAAGAAAACGCTTTCAGTTTCAAAATCGCAAGGGTGGCTTCTCAGTGATGTGTCACGGCAGTGTGGCATCACGGGGAGACAGTACTATACCATGGAAAGTAGTAGCGGCAAATATGTCATTTGTTTATGGTGCACATAAACAACAATGAGCAAATGATTGTCCAGTGAGCACGACAGTTCACCGGACTAGCCTGGACAGTTCACTGGTTTAGCCTGCATGCAGGATGCAGGATTCCCATTGGAACTGTGTTGCAATGTGTGTGTTTGGGCTAGTGGTTATTTCACTGAACTGCTATGTAGGGCAAATTTCAGGGACAAGAAACAAGAGAATGCAACACACACAATCACTAACTTCCAGCTAATTTTACAGCGGAAGCTGTTATAAGATCACAACAGGTGTCACATACTCCGTAGTTGTCTGCCACTGGTGTCAGTAACCACCATCGTGCAAAATGAGAAAACTAAGAAAATAAAAGACTCCAAGGTTTTAATGGTATTTGAACCAGAGTGCCCTGTGTATTAAGCCGGTATTCTATCACTGAGCCACGCCGCTGCTTGAAACTCTGTCGCAAACTGACTCTAGGTAGGCTTGATGTCGGGAAAGGAAAATATAAACAATACATAAAGCGTATTAGAACAGCGAAGGACCAATCAGGCGTCAAACAATGCGAATTACGTACCAAGTAGGTCGTCGAATGCTCCAAACCATTACTAAAAACTTCAGCCATAATTCTTCATCGTAGTCAGCCGCAACAACGAAAAATTTCACAAATTTCCTTGCAAGTGTAAATGTGTAGCGGGTACCAGGCTTATTCGAAGAATTACAAAGAATGGCATAGTGAATACCTTCCTAATACACAATAATTATAAGCATTTATGGCGTAGTGGTACCCTGCAAGTGCACTTATAGTAGTGGCCCAAAGAGTGTTTAAAAAAGGCCCTGAAAGGCCGCTCTTCCAGCTTTCGCTGTGGCTGTGCTTCACATTGAGCACAGGCTTGGGGGTTTTTTTTGTTGTTGTTGTTAAAGAAACACATGAACTATACAGGTAACTGTGTGCCTGTGCAGCTTCACTTCCACAAAATTGCAACACTCCAAAGCGACAAGATTCGGCTCTCTAGATCTACACAACAATAATTATGTAGAAAAAATACTCAGAAAAAGTTATTAAATCACATGGCACTATCAAGCGGTACACCTAAATACACAGACATGGCCAAGGATGATAGCCATTGTATTAGCGTGCCTTCCATTGCTCCGTCAAAAAAAAAAAAGACTGTTTTTCACACTTGAAATTCTGTAGCTCATAGGCCTAGATTTCAACTGTCTCAATGAAAAGTAAAGGTGTTAGTTTGGCTACTTCTGCCACCATGATTTGTGTTGGCTGGGACATATGCGCGTCTAGCCGGAGACACGTTCGTACCGGTCAGCCTTGCAACTACAAGTGATTTATTCAGATACGCCCATCCCAGCCTCCAAAATGTGCAGCGCCACAAGACAGCTGGCCAAACACAGGTGAAAGTACAACAGATTAAATGTGTTGCAGTGCAAAAACATTAAAACCAAGCGAGCACAAAAATGCAACGATACATGATCGCTCGACATAAGATTTAGTCAACGGCTGATGGTGCCAGCAGGAGTTAGCAGCAACCTCACGACACATAACCATAACAAAACAAACACCATCACTGCACATCTGTCAATATATAGCATTAAAACTAACAAAGCGAAATTTGTCTTCACAAATATGCAAACATACCTCTGGTTTTCCAATATCTGCCATTTTAGCCTGGATCCGACTGATTAGCCGCCGGCACTGGCACTTCAGGGAGTGTCGGGTGCCGGGCATTTGGGCCTGATTCAATTGTTTCAACAGGTGCTCCCCTTGGCTGTAAAAAGCAAAGGTATACGTGAGATCAAGAGCAAGGCAGAACAACATACAGCATGTTCAGTGGACAGCCCTGTTATCATTCCAAGCTGGGCAACTACAGGGGACTGAAGCACGAAGGGCCCAGGAAAATGTGATTCACTTACAGGAGTTTCGCCTACTGAGAAAGATATACGTGTGCATAGTACCTGAACAGAAAAATTAGCCTATCTATCGGCAGTCTTGTTTAAACAACAATTTTATCTAAGCAGATGCTATTTACAGAGGTGTTACTGTACTGACAATCAATAGTCTACTTCACGCCAAAAATAACGACCAAACTGACAGAAGAAACACATAGACAGAATGGGCGCTCACTTTCAGCTGTTTATTTCCTAGGAACACGGGCATTTAAATCCACTTTTCCTTGACAGAAAAGCCATAGTCTTCAGCCGTAGTCTACCTAGACACGCTATCAGATACTTTAAAGATGTCACGCCTCCGATTCGCACAGATCAATCGAGGCTTTCATTACACAATCACTACCCTTCTGCTGTATATAAATAAATCGCCCCATATCTGCATGTTTCATGGCAAATGTCGTCGAAAGACAATAGTCTTGCATCTGGGGAGAGTGAACAAAAAGTTTATTTGATGTTTTGCACGAGAAAATCAGTGATTTGTATTCTGGAGGCACTGCATTAGAGTGCCTCGATCCATGCAGCGGAGACCAACGAGCGCACTGAGGCACGTGAGACACAAGCGCTATCTGGCAGTTATCTTCGAAATTGAAGGGTGGCGTGCGTGCCTGTCTCAGAGGCGATAAGGTGTAGAACGCACAGCGACATGTAGCTGCCACCACAATGTTGTCTTTGCAAAGCGTTGGAAACACTTGCCTTTTTGTGCATAGCGCTGCATTGTAAGCGCAGCGTGATAAATGCTACGATCCTTAGAATTGCTTATGTATGCCTTTTCCAGTAAGAGACACACATACAGAATATTGACTTGTTCTTATTGACCTCAGATGTGTGCAATAATTGCTTTTTATTGACAATCGCACAAGTATGAACGCTGAAACATGAGCAATATTGGTGGGCGTTGCAGATGGGGTTGAATTTTGGCAGTTTCGAGTATCGTTTTGGCGCGTCTCTCATAATCATATGGTGGTTTTGGGACGTTAAACCCCACAAATCAATCAAGTATCGTTTTGGCAGACAAACAGACAAATGGACAGACAGACGGGCCAAAATTTTCGCGTCGAAGTACCCCAAGAAAGACCTTTGTCTTTAAAAAATGCCAGTGGGCGGCAACTTCTTGATGAGGTGCCCAGCATGCATTTTCATAGCGCAAGCAAACTGCTATAACAATCCATCTAATCTCCAACAAGACGAAGTTAGTTTCTTCATGCCACAGAAAGAGAAAATGCAATCACGGCAGCATCAGTTACAAAGTCTAGCACTGCATGGAAACGGATGTAATAACACCCAGGGAAGCAATAAATGAAAGAGTAACTAGTAGTCAACCTTTAGAGATTAGAAACTAGGCAGCGATTATCTTTGCAGGTGCAAAAAGTGGTAGCCACCTGTAGGGCGAAACCAAAACCATCCGCACTCGGTTTCGCAAGCGAAAGTCAGCACACACTGTGGAAAGAAACTTGAGAAAAAACTAGAGAGTGCATGGAACAAATTCCACGCATCTCCGAAGTATGGCAGCACATGCCAAGCAAGGGAAATAATCGAAGAAGGTGCACATTTTAAACATACATGCAATGACAAACATGCACGTTTTTGGCCATTTTGTGTCTGTCTGGATCGTCATACACGCACGTGTTTAAACATCTAAGGGTTAGTTAGGGCAGGTAAAAAAAAGAATAAGCAAACTCACTGCATTAGGTGCACAAGGTCTCTACTAGCAACATCAGGTTGAGATGCTGCATGCAGGTCAATCTCGCTGTTGCTCCTGGGCAAGCCCCCATTCCCGACGACGCAAACCTTTCGATGTATGCTGTCTGTAAAGTCCTTTGCGACGTTGCTTTGTGGCTTGGCTTTCTTCAGGAGGGACACGAGGTTCTGAAGATTTGCGGGGAGCGAGTGACTTGCAGCAGTACTCTGAAACAAGAGAAAGGTGTTGCGATACACTGTTTGACTGCCACGTCTATCACCGTCAGAAGCTCTACAATGTGCATTATTTTTACGTAACAACAGTCAACATGCTTGAGAAAGATACCGTACGCTATTCATTCAGGGGTTGAAAAAACGCACATTCCTATGCCTACGGTATTGCGAAAGCCATGTACCAAATGCCACCTGTTCTTTGCGGTATCTTTCAACTCCACAATTATAGGTGTTAAACAATGTTCAATGTAAACAAGAAACAGAGAGCCGCACTTTAAAGGGCATCTCTTTTCACTAACTGACCCCAACCCAAGGGTCATGAGGGTCCTTCGAAAAAAAGGGACCTAATGAAAGAAATGTGTACTTGTTCACTTGAACAAATGTTCACAAAAAACCTAATGATGTAAGCTTGTCAATTGATAGCAAAAGCATTATCTTAATGCACATGAACTTGTTCTTGTGAGTTACATTGTGCTGTCTGTTTAGGCTTTCTATTTATGTCATAAAAGATGTTGATCAGGGCTTTGCACTATGTGACGAAACATTGCTAAGGCCTGGTTAACATCGTTCACAGCATAAATAGAATGCCTAGACAAATCTTGAACACTGGACTAGTTTTACCACTGCATCCTTCTGTCTTGATATATTCTTGCTGTTCTAGTCAGGGAATTGCCATTTAACAGCGCTGAGTGACCAGGTGCACATGCTAACAAACCCTGGTCTGTGATCTGCTAAGCGCTGAAAGACTGACCATATTCAACAAGTGTGCTTACCTTGCTGAGAATAAAAGGCACATCTGCAACAGTGAGCCTACAATGGTCAGGAAAATGAACAGTGTGCGGAACTGCAGATGTTGACCTTGCTCGGCGATCATGGCTTGGGTTTTTCATAGGCACTGTGGCTTCAGGCATCTAAGGCAGGGTGCAAACAGCAATTGATAAATTAATACATCGCTACACAAACTACTGCAAGTTATTATAGACGAATAAATTTGAGTCAATTTACAGTGCACTTTCAGCTACAATAAACAATTTTTCGTTACCCTATGAGTTTTGCAAGAGTACGAAAGAGCCCCCAATTAATTTGCTACATTAGTGTGTCTAGCTTCAGAGCAGTGGCATGTACATATGGAATCACTCTTGTCTGGAGCAGCGGTGCGCGTGGCTGTTGGCGCTGTTGTTCGCAGATGCTGCCTCACGTTAGCTCCAACTATATACAAGCTTTCGTTCGTGCTTAAATTATATCAAAAGAACGTCGCATGCAGTAAACCTATGAGAGGTATCATTACAGCATTGGTGTTTGTATATTTTTGTCGACAACGGCAGCTAAAGCGGCCGGCTAGGCACTCTAGACAAGTATGATTCCGTCAGTGTAACTTGTATATTCAGACGTCACCGACCCGCACTGCACCACGGATGTCTGTCCAGGGGGCGCACAAAGTATGAATGAAAGATCGCACCTTTGATGCCGTTTTTCTCGACGCCCTTTTCTTGACATCTGTGTTGGTTCCCTGGTGGGCCTTTTGGGGGAAAAGTTGAGGCTCGGAGTGAGAGGACCGGACGCCTTGAGGGCTGTCAAACACGTCGTCGTCACCGTAGCCGGGAGACTTGTCCAATGCGATGTCATGAAGCCCGTCGGAGGTGCTCCTCGGGTTAGTGGAGAAGGCCAGTACTCGTCGTGCGTACCGCAGTTGCTCCTCAAGTAAGGCACACTGGGCTTCCGCCAACGCAATGTGCTCTCCCAGATCTGTTAAGGAGAATAAGATTATTTGCAAGGCGGGATAATTAATAATATGACTGAGAACGTTCCGACCCGAAACAACGTGGCACCTGCCTGGAGTGCGACGATCGTAGGCCGAGCGCTTTTTTGCTTCAAGGCGGTGGACCTTTTCCAAGAGCTTGGCGAGTGAATTGATCACTTCTGCAAATTATGCGTTCGCAGTAAGTTATATGTTTCGTACGCCAAAAAAAAGAAAACAAGCCTTACCATCGCCTTTCGTGCTGTGAAGGCCAGCGGTATCTTTGATCTGCAACGGCATTCTCGATTAGGTCTTGAGGAGAATGCGAACGTGTTGTGCTCACTCGTGTACAATAAAGGTATTCATTGGAAGGTCGCGCCTTACACATAAAAAATTACTAAGCTGACGAGTACCCTACACAGAGTGAGCGACAGCTTTTCAAACTCGCTAAATGCGAAGCGCGAGAGAGACAGGTAGCGCCTCTTAACGACGAAACGTAACGATAGATGAGGTTTCGGTTTCGGCACGCTTCTGACGCGAGGTAAACGCGAAGAAACTGCGAATCTAATTCATCACAAAAACTTTCGATTACTGCATTTTTAGGTAGTACTAGGTTAATGACTAGATCAAGCCAACAGACTTCAGGTAGTTATATTTGAATAGAAAATGAGAAGAAAAATGTGAACCACGCAACTGTTTCCAGCAAAGTGGGACACCTCAGTGGTTCACAAGGGAAGGGATAGGGACGGATTAAAAGAGATGGAGAGAAAAAAATTAGAGATTGGAAGACTGTTAGAGAAGTTCGCGGACGGGGCCCCGATTGGCGAGTGGTCGTCGAAGAGAGGACATTGCGAACGAGACAACCGTCAGCCGTGAAATAGACCGAGAGTGAAAGAACTGCTCAGCATTTGTGATGTAGCCTTCAGTGAGCTAGAATAAAAACATTCTCACATCGACGCTATCGCAAACGTTATGGATGAGTTGATAAAGAAGAAAAACTGTTTGTTACACTAGAGTGATCTATAAGGGAAAGTGTATATTATTATGTAACTTTACTGCCTTATGAACTATCACACCGCGCGTGTACGCGCGCGCGCGTGTGTGTGTGTGTGTGTGTGTGTGTGTGTGTGTGTGTGTGCGTGCGTGCGTGCGTGCGTGCGTGTGTGAGTGTGTGTGTGTGTGTGTGTGACGCTATGATGAATGGATACGTGGCCTGGCTCATACGCCATGTTTATTTCATTCTCACTTTTTTCTCAGCTTCTACCAACCATCGCTACCTTCTTACGTTACAGGATTCCCCCTCCCCCCAAAAGAATGCGCGAGCTACAAACTTGTGAGCATGAACAAGTGGAGTCGCATAATAAGAAGAAAAAATTGCCAGACAATGAAGTAGTTCCATGTCGCACAGTGGTTCCATGCACTTGCACAAAAACGTTCACAGCCCAGTCAAAAATAGTTAATGGGTCCAACTGGATGTTCCAGTTAGGAGCAATGGGTGGCAAAGGGGGCTAAGTGGGGTTCAAATGGTGTCTAACTGGTGCCCAATTGGAAGTGCATGCTGCAATGGGACTGTCCAATTGGACTTCCCATGTAGTGGCTTCTAACATTTTAACCAACTCTGCATATTTGAAGTTCTAACAGGATGACCTGCTGTCATGATAGGTGGTTCCAGTTGGTTGCAATGGGACTCAAATGGACGTCAATGGGACCCAAGCTGCAATGGGAGAGTCCAATAGGACACCCCAATTGCAGTACATGCATAACTTTGAAGTTTATTTTTTACAATTCTCTACCTGAGCAGTATTGAAAGTCATAAATGGAAATCTACGGTGATGGAAATCTACGGTGAGACTTGGGATTTAAATAAGTCTTGTAGGGTCCTCTCTTTCTTTTCTTCGGACCGCGCTCCATCGCGAGGTCTTGAAGCAACAAGACGGCTTATTTCACTCCGGGACACGAAGTACAGAAACGGCGATGTAAGCGATAGGACAATGTGCACCGGCTGCCTGCGGCCACAGCGGCTGCCATATTGCATAGACACCCTGCAGCCAGCAGTCTGCATGTGAATTGATTGAAACAGCGTAGCGTTAAACAAACATTATAAAAGTAAAAAAATACTTTTAAAATTATTCTGATTTTTTGTTTACTTATAATGAAGAATAACATTTTCATTGACAAACTATCAGATCCGCAGCTGCGGTCGACCCTTGTTGCTTGCTGTGTGCGACCAGCGTTTGACCAGCTGTAGCGCACGTGTGTAGATGTTTTCTTCAGCATTGCAAGATGATTACCCACGTTCGAGTCCGGTACGAAGATGATAAAAAAATTGGAACGGTGCCAATAGAAGACGTTAAAGATTTCTTCCCCCGTCACCAGCAAGACTTCAAGTCCAAATCCCTCTATTTAGTCAAATGGACGGACGACAGTGGAGACAGCGATTACTATAGGGCCCGGATTCTGGCACTGGGAGGTAAGCCTGCTTTTGTTTGATATGTTGCCGGCGAAATGCATTCTCTTTGGCCTGGCTGACTGCTAAGCACTGTTCACCGTTAGTAACTACAAAGTATTTTATCGATAATCTCCACTAGCATAGTTCATTTTGTTAATTTACCGCGTGCAATCGCAAATAAGTATGGTGTCATTATTAATTTATGCATATACCTGAAAACTCTACGGAGATGACGCTGGTATTTACCTGGCCGCAGAGAGATACCAACAGCGTCGGGTATATCAGCCTGGAGTATATAAGGCCCTTTTGCGGTAGGACGCGCCTTTGTTTGTGGCACTGCAGCTTTTATACCTAATGACAAGGTCTATACGCTACTATTTCGCTCGCGGCATATGACGTTGTGTTACAACGGTACTTAAGCATTCACACGAGGTTCGATGGTTAATTTACAATGCAATAAAACTAATAAAAGTGCATGCTAGAGATCGTGAAATGTGCACGCGTCAGAGGATGATGTGACACTAACTCAGTAAATGTTAATGTTGCAATCCGCCCTCACGTTTTCCAGAATCGGAGGACTTCGCGGAGACAGAGGCCAGAGAGAGAACGCGTATTCCGAAGAGGGTTTATTCGCCGGCGTCTTCGGACTACGAGAATGAAGCGGAGGTAAATTATTATCTAAACCTCCTACAAAAGGTCCTGTCAACACTTGTGTAAACAGTGTGTAACAAGTTATTTTCTATTTTCGCCCAGAGCCCTATCAAAGAAAAAACGAAAAACAAAACAACAAGTGGTGCAGAGGCACGCCTGCTTCAGCTTTTAAAAAGCAAGAAAGAAAATATGAAGAGGCAGGCGAAAAATCAAGATGGGCCACATTCTAAAAAGCACCACAAAGAAGCAATGGACAGTGGGCGCCTTCAGGGGGCTCATGAAACCATTGATAACCTTGAAGAGCAGGTAGAGAAAAAATCTACCATCATTCGCCAACTGCGAAAACAAAATGAAGAAAAAGACAGGGAGATGGCTCAACTCAGAAGACTGAACATGGAGCTTCAGGACAAGGTTATTTCTGCACTGGAAGACATGAAAGGTATGAAGCAGAAAATGTCTTCATTGTACTGATTTTGTGCTGTGAAAGCATTAATGCCATTCTTCTGACATTTAGCAGTGTGTACAGCTTGTTACCATAAAACGTTCGGCAGTCTTTAAGTGAAGATATTTCGAGTTTAGACTGCAAATGGCTATTGTTTACAGCTGTTTGATGAAATTTAATGAAAATATTTTGTCAGCTCTTTTTCCTCTCTGGGCAATGCAAACAGCACGGCACCTCATGTATAAATGCAGGCTGCAGAATTATGAAAAGGATCATGGATGGCAGCCAGTCGAGCCCCTCCGTGTCTGAGGATCTACAAGACACCTTGACAGAGCGAGCCCTTCGCCCAGGTTCATCCAATCCGCAACCGAATGACAGTGAAACAATGGTATTCTATCTGGAATGTCAATAATGTGCAGCTGTCCAAATTACAAACAACTGTTCTTTTGAAAGCATGTTAAAATAATATAAAGCAAGATTGAGCATTATAGATTACTTGTCATAGAAGTTTGTCTCTGCACAGCTGAGCAAGACATTCCAAAAAGAGTTCAGTGATCATTATAGATATGTGTAAATTTTAAGCAGAACTTATGAACAACCAAAAAAATGAATTTCGTTGTCAGCAACACAACTTACTAAAACAACTTCACTAACGTACTTGTTGGACAGAAATATTAAGGAATACACTTGGCCTTGTCTGCTGCTGTTTTAGCCATCTCGTGCTGCGCGGATTCAGCACAACCTCACTGAGAAGGTGCAGGCACTTTGTAAACTGGTCTTGCACAAAGGCTGCACTTTCTCTCAATGAATACTGTGGTGCTGACACCACCATGTGCAGTTCATAGAAAGAATGCTAGAGTGCAGCACCACAAAACTGGCTGACAAAGTGCTGGTGAAATGAATAGACCTTTGTTGTTTATGATATGCAATACAGGTTGCACTGCACATGGATGCCTTCAGAATGCATATGTTCCGTGCAGGTGGACATTGGACGAGGGCTTATGGTCAAGAAAGGTGCATGGGAACATGTGCAGTCCCATCATAAGGATTCCTTATTTGTCAAGGACCTGCTAGTCACCATCTGGTCGAAAGACAACCTTAAGGAGCGCTCCCTGCATGGTTGGTTATAATACAAAAGCATAGTGTGTGTCAGTTGGTAACGGGGGAATTCGTTGTTGTGGATATCTGTTATGCAGGAAAACATTGTCCACGGTACCCTAACCGTCCACGCAAGGCTCCCCTAACACCGTGGAAGTTGGACGTAATGCGTGGTAAGTGTGCAGACAGTCTCTTGGAATGCATATTGAACCAATCTTATTCTTAGTACATGAAATCACAGCAAAGCTCGGTTGCAATTGAGTCTATTTTGAAGCCACTACAAACTTTACTGTCTGCTTTGACTTCAGTTATGAACACAATTTTACATAAACTATGTAGTTGTAAAAATGTGACCCAACACCTTGCCTCTTACTTACTATTAAATTCATTTGTTTTAGTCAGGAGTGCAGGCAGGTGAAAGTCTTAAGTCTCTTAAATGCACTGGTAGTTCAAAAAGATAGTCGAAAAAAAGAAAAGCCAACAATAGAGCTAGTGTGTAGACTGCCAGCATTTTTTTCATCATAACTTATATCTCTTTCATAAAAAATGACAAAAAAAGAAATAGTGTTCTCTGCTTTCTTCCTGCACTATATAAATCCACACAGTTACATGGTGCGAGTGGAGAGCTGTGAAATGTTACTTTTTTAGATTATTTTTGTGCATGTGCACGCTAAGTTCGCAGTTTCCTTTTTCTAATAAATGCTGGAACGGAACACTTTTGCTAACTGGAGAATGCTTTCTGTATTGTTCAAGCCTGTGCTGCTAAGGCATATTCTAGGCCATTCAGCATATAACACTTCATTGCATCAAGAAATATGACTAAAAGTTCAATTTTGAACTTTTGTGTTCTTAAAGTAATATCGATGCTATTAGTTCTTTAAGCAGCTGGTTTCTTCAAGGCTATTTATTGATAATTTTTGTTGTTTCAGACTGCTACAGAGCACGTCTGGAGCATCAAGGCGTGCCTGCAGGAGTACTGCCGTTGGCAGTCAAACAGATGAACCACTTCATTGTTGAGAAGCTTTCAGATATTGAGAAGCTTGCCAAGCGGTAAGATAAGTGTGTTCTTTGTGTCAAAGGACTCCCCCCCCCCCCTTTTTTTAAGAGAAACTTGGCCATATTCATCTGCTTGCAACATGCATGTACAGAAAGAGACTGAGAAAATTTGGAGGCTCGTCTGGCATTTTGGCGCAGCGTGGCGCAATATGGTTTTGGCAGCTCGGCGCAAAAGCGGGGAATTGTATCAAATTCGCGTAATTGGCACAGCTGTTGTACCCCTTCAACATGCATAGCTATTTTTATGTTAATGTTTTTATGTTAAATCACATCTAGACTTGGAAGAATGTAAGCCATTGTGTGGCTGACTAAATGTATAAATTCTGCAAAACATTTGCAGGGCGAAGGACAACCAGGGCGTTGCGGAAGTTTAACAGAGGAGGACCATTGGTGCATTTTCTAAATAGTGTAAATATTATGGAATGTGTGAATAAATTTTCATTCTTTCATATTTTTTTTTTCTCTACCATTGTTTTTATCTTGTATGTGCATGCATTTGAGTGTGCATTAATGTCACATTCACACTAGGTAATCCAGCCTGTGCTGTTTCCACTGTGTTGTGAAATTGCAATTAATGAAGTGCAGTGTGATGACAGCCAGCCTTCTACAGGATTGTCATTTTCTACTTGCATCCGCAGAAATGTGATAATCATGTTTATAGGTCAGCCAAGAGACTGCAATTACTACACTACTACTTAGCTTCAGTTGGCTCTCTCTGTATACCAACCACTGGCTGGCTGAAATGCAGTTAGCAATTTAGCGTCAACCAAGTGCTTACCAGAAACTAATGGCCAGCCATATTAAATTGGCTTACCAGGTAGAATGGTGACTGGCTAAACACCAGCTTTTGTCACTGGGCCAATCATCTGGATACATGCAGTGCAGCTTGGTCGAAGACCAGAGAGTCACAACGCAGACGAGCGCTTGTCTGTGTTCTTTGTCTAAGTTCGCGCTGCATGTATCCAAGTATGTATCAACTAGCCCAACTCAACCTTTTATTGAAACATATGGAATCATTGGAGTCTCAATTACCATCAAAGTGCTGACCATTTGCAACAATGTGGGAAGTCATGTGGTTACCAGCCACATTGAATTTGCTTACCAACTAGAATGAATTGGGGGCTGTTTGGAATGCCAGTTACGATCAGTGGGCCAAACATCTGGAACCACAGGATTACCAGTTAGCTTCAACGGGTTAGTCTACTGAGACCTGCCGGGCAACCACGTGCCTACCATTAATTTTCAATGGGTTGACCATTTCAGGTCAACGGGTTTTCTATTCACCACCAGTTGGCTTCAACAGGTCAGCCTATTCACACCAAGTGGACAACCACCAGTATACCATTTAGTATAAATGGGTTGACCATTTTAGGTCAATGGGGTTTCCTATTGACCACCAGTTAGCTTCAACAGGTCAGCCAATTCACACCAGGTGGACAACCACCTGCATACCATTTAGTATTAATGGGTTGACCATTTGAGGTCAATGGGGTTTCCAATTGACCACCAGTTAGCTTCAACAGGTCAGCCAATTCACACCAGGTGGACAACCACCTGCGTACCATTTAGTCTTAATGGGTTGACCATTTGAAATCAACGGGATATTTAATTGACCACCAGTTAGATTCAACGGGTTAGCCAATTCACACCAATTGGACAACCACCAGCGTACCATTTCGTTTTCATGGGCTGGCCATGTGAGGCCAAAGGGGCTACCAGTTTGTCACCAACCAATTTCAAATGGTGCGCACCATTGCAACTAACTGGCAATTGCTCAGCACCAGCCACACTTAACTGGTAGCCAATGGGGTCCCCTGTTGAACCAGTTGCATTGAAGTGGTGAGCCACTTGGATCCCCCTTTGGAATATAAGGGTTTACCCATTGATTCGAACGGGATAATGTTCAATGGGTGGCGAAAATCCTACTGGTCCAACACCCATTGATTTTAAATGGAAATTTTCCAGTTGGACCCATTGAATATTTTTGACTGGGAGGAAAGGCAGTTTGGTGATATCTAGGAGACCTCAGGTGGGCGAAATTTGCATGTTGCGTTCTGGAGAGCATAACCATGTCTCGGACGTGGAAAATGATGATGACACAGCCTGGAGAGTAGTAAAGGTTTGGAGTCCTTGTAGCGTTGGAAGGTCGGATGTCCCATGAGTTGGATTCCGAGTTGTAACTGCAACAGACGCTTTGCTTCTAGAATGCGTGCTTTTTGACAGATTATGACGGCGTGATGCCTGAAAGGTGGTGGTGTGCAAGAAGTGCTTCCGCATCTTTCTTGGCGCTTTCCGTGGTGTTGTCGTCTGTGTAACCACAGGCGCAGAGAGCGTCTGTGGCGAGGTTTCTTCATCCGGAAACATCCTACTTCTTGAAATGGTCCTTGGATCAAAGACCTTATTCTTCGATGTTGTTCAAGTCGTGAGTGCGCTTCCATTAAAGTTTTCGTTTGTTGTTGTCTTTTGTTTGTTTGGTGATGGCGCTGTGAAAATTGCGGGTGGTCATCGTTGTTGAATGAGCAGATGCTGTCGGTAGTCCCAGCGTTATTTACATGGGATGCAAGCGTGATTTGTGTCAAGGAAAGCAGAAGATACCTCTCCGTTTTTATTGGTGAGACTTGCATTCAATGGTGACTCCGTACTGTTTCGACATTCGGTTGGTCCAGCTCCTGAGGACGACATCGCCACAAACATGGCTTGATGTGCTTCAGATTTCATATGTCTGTTTCTTTGTGGAAGAATTGAGCTAAACGTTCCTGAAGTACAACCGCTTTTGGAATGGCAGTGGTTTGACAAGGTATTTGGCCGATATTTCAGGTGGTCTGTTATGTATAGAGCGATATCCTGAGGCGTGCGATGAGAGTGACGAGCACCAAAAGAGCTACTTGATGCAAAACCAGATGGTGGCCTACGTAAGCAAGACGAAGAGTCAAAGTACATAAGGTGCTTGAATAATGTCTTGATTTGTGTATTGTATGGAAGAGGTTAGCTTTGGCCATATTTGTGCAGATGGGAAACCAGGTGGAAGGTTAGGCTTTGTAGAAAAACGGCCGGTATGTCTTTCCATGAGCAGATGGCTGACTTCGCCCGACGGGAACTGTAAACTTCTGCTCTGCGCTCGAATTCTTGAAGGTTGCCTATGACTGTGGTTACTGGATTACTGAATTCAAATGCATCGATATGGCTGGTTGTAATCGAATCTTCATTATAGTCTTGGACTTTTGCTTTTGCTGACGGTGCTGATGTTGATGTGGAACGTGTTGCGGTGAAAACCCTTCTTGAACATCAGGTCGGTTTTCTCGACAACTTGATGTGGTGTCCAGTCGGCACCTGGTAGTCTGTGGGCTGTTGTCATGCAATTTGGGCAATGAAAATAATGCTTCAGAGTTGACAGAAAGCTTTACAGAAGCTTCTTCTATGCTGTTCACTATGACTGGCTCTTGTGCCTGGCAGCGTGCGACGTTCGATGCATCTGAGCCTTCTCTTTTTGCTTCGATTATCGATTGTATATGCACCGGACGGTGATGCATGACCCCATGCGGAAGGAGCATAACTCGACAGGGTATTTTTTCGATGCATCAACCAGTCTATCGTGAACATGGCGTCCTTATGAGGTAACCGGTGAGCGTAAGGAGCGCTTGAAGAGCAGTGTGATGGAAAATCTGGTGGTAAACCACGTGTGACAGACGAAGAATGAAGGGCATCAGGTGGGTGAGCAACGTCTCATGTGGTATACTGGAGCGACGACTTTGAAAATACCAGCTTTCGGGAAGGGAACCCTGTTGGAAAGCTGTGTTCCTTGAGTAAAGATCGTGGACTGTGATGGCCGAGTGTGATTGTCTTTAGACGGTTGGTAATGAGGAACTCGTTGTCGTAGTTGTTAAAATGGGAAATCATTTCTTCTCTGATCTTTCGCCACGATTCATCGTTTTTGAATATTTGGGTAAGGTAAAATCTGAATGCCTCACCAGTAACGCAGTCACTGAAGTTTGTAACCACCTCCCGTTCCGACCAGGATGCAGCGGAGACTTGGAGCTCGAAGAGGTTGAACCAGTATTCTACGGGTCCTTTGTCTATCTGTACTCATGCTTACTACCAACATGATTGCTGCCTGTACTCATGATTACTACCAACATGATTACTATGCCAAGGATTAATTGGCAAATGGTGTGGTCATTGTGCTTTGACTTGTTGAATATGAACCTGGGAATACCAGACAAACCAGAAGTTTATGCTTACACTTTGAGGTGTATGGCAACGAAACAGTAGCAAAGATAAAAGGTTGACGCAATGATTGCAGCAGCTAAGACAAAAGGCATCAAAAGAACTGCAAGTGCAACCACTGACCAGTGATCGAAAGACTGGCTTTACTTGCAGACAAATTCAGTATCCTATTATCCAAGCGAGTACGGTTGCCATACATCAATTGCAAGGAGCAACATACTCTGATGTACTAGCATGTACAACCGGAAACAACTCTGGAATACACTGCTCTTAGTCAGTTAACGTGAATCGACTCTTTCTTACAAATTCTGGTAATAACAAGTTCTACCATGCCGTCGAAACTTCACACTGTGAACTCGGAAATGAGTTTCATTGAACAAAAAACAATTTTCCTACTATTAGCAAACCATTTTTCCAAGATGTTAACAAAAAAAGTGACAACGTAAAACTGTATGTTTAAAGTAAGATCTTTTGCAAAATATACACAATAATGTACAGTGCATGTATCATATTCTCTGCTTCTCTGAAACATAAATGAATGTGCACTGCCATTTGCTTGCCTATAGTCCCATGGCCAGGTCATGTGACGCACTCAGGAGGGGTGGTGTAGCGGACTACGTCAAAACAAAGCAAATCTCAGTGGCTCTACCTCACTACACCTCTCCTAATATACCATGAAAGCCCGGAATATTTGTGGGATGTGTACACCAGAAGGTGTGATGGTGCGTACGCTTTACGTCAAACCCAACACACACTTCCCAAGCTCTGACAGGGAATACTTCTTGCTGGAAGGACTCTCAGCCATCATTCGGCAACATTCACTAACGGTTCACTGCAAGGTTTTATATGTTGGCATCTCAAAACCTCGTTGCAAATGAATCATAAGTTTTCTTCTGGAGGGGTTTTCACTAATGTGTGTGTCATTACCTTAACCAAAGGCAAACAACACGCGTATAAATCTCATATCCTTTAATCAACTCTGTAAAGTAGGCATAGCCACACAGTACTACACCATAGTGACATAAAGCTATAAAAGATAAGGATGAGAACAAATTACAGCATCTTTTCTTTCTTTTTTTTTGAAACTGACTTTATTTGGAAAAAACTGCTCCTTTTTCTAAGCATGCAGACAAGTGCGCTACTACAAAAGAGTTAACTGTTGGGTGAGCTTGTGCTTTGATATAAAAACCATCATGAGAGCACAACTAAACGCTACACACAAGAAGAAACAGACGAGGACAGACGCACACTATTGTGTGTCATGTTGAGTTGTACAAGACACTGTTGCAGTTGCACAGGACACCAGCGAACAATCTCATGCTTACTACATCATGATATGTAGCCAGAAAAAAATTGTGCTTCTGTTATATGCTGGGTGACAGTCATGCCACTGATGCACACATTAACACTGATATAATTCACCTCCAAAGTTTATGCGCCACAGTATTCTTGCTTCTTCCAAGTATTCTAAGTAGTTAAATACCCCTCCACCCCATAAAAAATGTTATGTGCATGATTCAGAAGCCTGCCAAGGCAGTCAGACATAATCCTATGTGTTTCAAGGACAGCGGCAGGCTCGTTCTTAAATGCTTACTCTAAGAGGATTAAACAATAGTGAAGGCCCTGTATCTATACTTTAAAAGTTGGACCAATGAAGCCATGAGAAATAGTGTACCACATAAAGGGCTGGTATCTAGATAAAGAACTTGCCATGACTCAAAGAGATCGCCAAAGACAGAGCTGTTTAATAATCAAATCTACTTCGTTTGCTGCAGAACATACTTTATTTCGTATATTATCCTTCGTGCTTCATAGAGAGTGACTTATCCCGAGGTAGCAATGCGCAGTGACACAGGGCTCGTATTTTTTGGCTTGTACTTGTAGTATGGTGAGTAACGTCCAATTAGGAACATGTCCCGCCCTTTCCAAGTGAACCTGGAAAGAGCATGCATACTGCTTAGAAGAGCGATGAGACAAGACAAAGGAGTTTTATTACCTATGCTATTCAAAAATAAACATTCTGTTTCTACCTTAGCATTCCACGATACAGGCCTCTAGGTGAAAACTTTGGGTGGTGATACAAGCCGAAACAAGAGCAAAGGGCGCGCAATGTTTCAAAGTCATCCTTTGAGGCTTGGTGAAAGAAGATGCTGATTGGAGGCCTGAAAAAGGATACATCTGGCAATAAATTACAGGTATCCAAGACCAAGTTAGCAGCAAACTTCTGAAAACTTATGACTTAACTACATACTATGTGTTTTTCAAAATAGTCAGTGTTAAAATAAGTTCAGCAAGGAATGTGATTTTTTTTTGTAGTACTAACGAAAAATTTGTGCTTTCTGAATGAATTCATCCCATCTGGCCCAAATTTATATTAGTGCCACTGCAGTTATAAATGCAACAGACTATTTTTCTGTACCACACTTATGCTAATGATGGCCCATCTCAAGGTTCTAATAAAGGTAAAGCTAATTATAATGGCACATGCCATTGGTTGTCTTCTGTGCATGCTTATGTCAAGAGAGTCGAGTCTACCTTGTCAAAGCCATAATGCGATTGGGTGGGCAAGCTGCATCCTGGGAAATCTAACCTCAGAATTATGAAAAGGGTCTAAGAACAACTCGTGGTCCAATGTTTTTAAGAAAAAATGCCTATTTGCATCCACATCACTGGTCAGATACTTTTACTAGTACAGCAACTTTTACATACATATTCGGCGAATTTGTAAACACATAGCTTTCCCATAAAGGTGACATTCATAACAACTGCCCAGTGACCGCTTCTTCAATGCAAAATAAGTTGATATTCAAGGCTATGTTGTCATGTCCTGCAGGCACCAGAAGCACTCCCATGGCTATCCTGCATCAAACCCCATCCACTGTCTTGTGTAGTTGCTGTTTTAACAAAATGCCGATCCCAGTACCTCCAAAAAGAGAAAAAGAAAAAAGGATTACGGCAACATGATTTTTTTCGGCTCCTTTGCTAAACACACATGTTTTGGCAACTGGTACCTGTTTGATGCCGTAGAACTGGACAGGTGCGGAAGCCACGATCCAGTGCTGCACAGTGTGAGGTACCGCTGAATAAGCACCCATGTCTCACAAGTGCTTAGCATTCCATGCAGCACCTTCTCATAGTGTGAACGTTCAAGAGTTTCCACACCTCCAATAGTAACTCCCAGTTCCCTAGATGTCAAGGGGACATTAGAAAAAAATGACATGCTCATTTGAGACTGCTGTACTGTCAAAACAAACACAAGGTTTGTGGCCGAATAACATAAGCAATCACTGATGTTGCTGCTTATCACTTAGAGAAATGTTCTGAGAAAAAGGAAAATGTTTTGTGTTGTCTGCAGAACAGACACTCTGATGTTGGTAAGATTGCATGGCTTGGGATGTTACAGAATCTGACAGTAACACGACTGCAGATAGTTCCAGAAAAACCATCAGACCCTGGCAATTATTCCAGCTTTCAGCTCATTCACTGCAACAGTAGGGACAGTAATAAGAAGATGGTGAACACTATCACCATCTTCTTATTACTGACTTCTCACTATTACTTCTCACTGACTAAAAAGAATAATTTTTCTTTTAATGCACTAGGTGTCATTGTTGTTTGCTACAGGAGTATTTCCTGCACTGACTTTCAAAATACATGTGCAGACATTGTAGTCAGTCTGTCCATAATATGCGAAACCCAGCAGGAAACTACAACTGACGGCAAGTATGACTGCCGTACAACAGCTCAATCTAACTCTGAAGATGGCTGCAAGGGCACATGTTCAGAATCCAGCTGCAACTATAAGTCAAGTCGTGTTTCTGTTTGCGATTAGATGAGGATAAACTCGGCAATAAGTATGTGGTCTTACAACAATAGCATAATGACGGACAGATGAGAACAGCATAATAGAAAGGACAGATGGATGGACATAGAAATCATGGTTCCCAGCTTTTGACGTCTCTCATAGCAATAGCACTTATGACAAGTCATGGCTCTCCTAAACAAAGTAACATCAGCAACATTGTCAGAATCATCAAGACACAGATATCACAGTAAATGGCTCAACTCATAACCTACCACGCCAATCTGGGAACAGCTGGGATGCACAGCCAACATGACATGCCAACACTTAAGGGGCACAAAGAGGAGTATGTGTATTAGTATTAAGTTAAGGCGTGTGTCAGTAAGTTACGCTAATGCAAAAGCGAAAATTTGCTCTTCCTTGCTGAGCAACAGAACATGTAGTACAAAGAAAAGACAGGCAGTAATGCCAACTCGGAGCTCTCACGACATCCCTTTAAAACGTGGCCTTTGAAAGTATTCATTCAAGTCCACTTGTTTGCCAAGGATGCATTGAATCACATTCTGAACGAGGCTGCCATAAAAGCCAATATAATTGCACATGCTTTTATTGTCTTGAAATTTATTAATAAAGCGAAATATTACAAGTTCATACAATGCATATGTAAGTAAAAAACAACTCGCCTACTGTTTCTGACAAATCATTTGGAGAAGCCACAGAGCAAAGGTCTAAAGAGATACAATTGAACAGGTTTAACCTCTTATTACCAGCTTTTACAGACAGTTCAAACTGTAATTAACTAGTTTTTACTGGTTACAAATGGGAGTCTGATGATTTTTCAGCAAGATGAGATAAATGTGAAATGTTAAATGGTTTGTTAGCAAAAAGTATCCTTAAGCACAACATACGATTAGGCATCCTTTAATATTTACCAGTAATAAAGCACTGCAAGTGCGGTTTGTGTCATCATTGCAAGCTTGTCTGGATGTGTTGGGATAGGAAGCATAACTATCACATGTGCATCAGTGTGTGCACCACCACAAAAGAAAAGGTAGCAGAGAATGAAACGTCTCTCACATGTCTGTGACTCTCTCCTGTGACAGCAGTGCTCCAATGGCCTCCGAGAATGGGGTCTCGTCGTCGTAAACGAGATCCGAGATTCGCATCACTCGGGAGACATCTGGTGATATTGTATCACCACCGCTGGGTGAGCCTTCAAGAACAAAGCGACGCTCACACCAGGTCGCAGCGGGAAAGCCCCTTCGCACCAGAAAGCCCATGCCAGTCAGGCTCTCAACGCGAAACAATCTTTTGTTATTCCCCGAGACGCCCTGAAATCCTGAAAGCAATGTAGAATGTATTAAACAAGGTTCCTCCGCAGGGCACTGGTGAGAACCGGCCAATAATAAAATCTTTTTCTAACTTAATCTTGTCATTTTCAGTCAACATTATTTACCATGTTTCTTCCCTTCGTTATGCTAAGCAGAGCAGCATCATATATCGAGAGTGACCAGGTTGGACAATTTGTCTCGTCCATTCTAAATGCGTACAGATGCATTAAACAGATTGATCATCATGATTTACTGGAGCAAACAAACTTTTACAAAATTTAAGCACCATGGCACGTGCAATAAGTATGCATACATGTCATTAACACTTCTCTTGAATGAAATTAGCACATAAATAAATCTTGTGTAGTGTGTACCACAACTAAAGTGTCTTACCATTGTCATTCCATGCTGAAATGCTGCTTATGGTCGAATCCATTTCCAGCAGTGGAAGAAGCTGACCGATGTAAGCCAGGAAGTCTGGTCCGAGCAAAACACCTTCTTCAATCACCACAAAATGCACCTGAAAAAGAAAAAAGAATTAAACAGACATTGCTACTATTGTGCTGCACTGCAAACACACAATAAAGATTCAATAACAGTAGTTCATTGGCATTTGAACAAAAGTATGAATGCCTTAAATGTAACAGCACATGAGAGGGATTCACTTACTGCATCTGGAAACAGCCGTTTTGCAAGTTCAAATGCTTCAGTGAATTGATCTGTAGGAGATGAAAAAATAACGAAGTGATTGTTATAGCATGGCTGATGCGCTTTCCCAAACAAAGCAAGTAAAAGCCAGTCAATTATTTAGGTCAAGGCATTGCAACACCTATTATATTTTTCTGTTCCGCCAATCCCAGAGCTATCTCAGGACACAGTGCATTGGCACCTTTTTGAATGCAACTAGCCATTCTTAAGCTAATGCGATGAGTTTCAGATAAGTGATGTGTCTGGCAGGTGACATTATCCATGCACATAAAGACAAAGTAGACATTATAACAGTGCGTATGTATACTGTATCAACACAAATATCTAGTCATACCTATTAAAAATTTTTGTATGCATTCCAATATATCTATATAGTGTCCATAATAATGTCACAGACATTGAGTATAATTCATATGGAATCCACATAGAATCCATACAAATATATAGTAATCACATGGATTTATTGAGGAATATGTTCAAGCCAGTGGTTCTCAGTTACGAATGATTCAAGGACCTTTTGTGGACTCTTAGAAGTGATGAGGAACCCCTTAGAGTGAGAGAAAATGGAAGGGTCATAACACAACATGAAGCACTAAATAGGTATATTCTATTTCTCCATGGCAAAGAATGGTCGAACTAAAATGCCAAGACAATATCTCGGCAGCTTGTCGCGAAGTTACCCGATTTGCAGCCATATTCAATCTGTTTCTGGCTACATTTGCTCCTCAAATATGCAGGACTAGAAAAAGTATGCCCGCGAGCATATGTCAGTCACAACTGCCACAAAAAATTTATACTGCGTACCACGATAAAGGGAAAACACTAGTCAACTCTGCCGCAATGCGATAATACTTTGCAGTGAACCATACGAAAAATGGGAAAAGGCAGCAGTGACGGGATAGTGTGTGCCTCTAAAAAAAAAAGTTTTTTTTTACATTTTTTGATGTGAATCATTTCTTTGCATACCAAAGGGCACTTCAAGTGTTGATATCTACGTATCCATCTACCTATTTATCAAGCCGACTACGTCTGGGTGTTATCGTGATTTCCTCCTTAAAGGGGCCTTGCGATACAAATTAAGCATGTAGTTTTTATCACTTCTCAAACTGCGTAATAGACCAAAATCATCGTACGAGTGCCAATTCCAAAAGCAAAGCCGCTATAATTTTATTTCAATAGAGAAACTACATTGGCTTTGGACTAGAGCGCAACACAATGACTGTTTCTGTGATTAGAATAGCCACTCCATCACGTGGGATTCACAACACTGACTGGTCGTTTTGACCGGTTTGATGAGACAAGTCGCATGTAATAGTCATATGGTCCCAAATAGGCGACGTTATTGTGCACTAAAAACTATAAAAGCACTATTTATGTTTCCTCAGACACAAAAAGGACTTCTGCTTTTAAATATGAAGTTCTGAAGACAATGGCTAAATGACACTAGGAATGCTGCAAAATCGCCGCCACGAGGCGAGTTGTCCGGTATGTTTCTTTAAAAGGCGTTTGGTGGTTTTAACCAGCCTTTGATGTCCGTGGGAAAGTGAAATGCAAATGGGATAGTTTTTTTCTCGTCATCAACTGGAGTTTTGAAGATTAAAGGCTAATAACTTCTGTTACCTTGTACCAATTTCGATAATTCTGAATATACAGCACAATATTCAGCACTACATGCATTCTAGCGCTGCAGAATAAAAATGAAAAATCTTCTTTAACATAATGTGTACCGAAATCTGCACAGGTAGGTAAGAGGATTAGATGAATATAACTGTTTGGTCATGACATGAACAGCATTGGAATTCAGTCTTGTACGTCGTCCAACACTTTAATGCAGACGTGTGACACATACCTTTATACCATGGGCAACGGTATGCAGGTATGTGTCACCGGTGATTGCTAGTTTATGTTTACCCAAGAATAGAGATTGGCAAGTTAAATACAAAAGCATTCAGAAAATTGACATTGGGCAGCGTCAACCAAACAAATGCAAAGAATAAAAAACAGGATCCCAGCAGGATTCGAATCCAAGCATTCTGCGAGGCAGTCAAGTGCTCTACCACAGAGCCAAGCCAGATATTAAAGCTGCTTTGGAAAAAGACCTCATGAAGGGGTAATCTCAGTGCAACATCAATTGTAGTTGCAGTGCTGGCTATCTAATTTTATATATAAAAAAGCAATAAACATTAGATATTTACTCATAAGACGCAGGTATGACGTCAGGTTAATGTCAATTGTGGTTCCAGAGTAGTCTCTGCTTTCACAGCAATCTAGCAAACATTATATGGTAAGATTGAGTAGCGCAATTTTTAAGAAGGACAAGAGATATAAAAAGAACATGACACCCACTACGACATTCATAGCGAATGCCGTGTTCTTTTTATATCTCTTGCCCTTGTTAAAAACTGCGCTACTCAGCCTTACGGTAAAATGACTAATCGCCAACAAGCCCAGTTATCAAACTTATCAGCAAATATTACATTTGTATCACTTGACTCAGCAAGCTAAATTAATGTCGTATCATATATTTTATCCCGCAGGAGCACAATATTTACCCCTGGTAAGTCCACAATGTGCACACAACCACTACACTAAAAAAAAAAAAGGTCAGTCCACCTTGCTATGCCTGGCTCAAAGCCAAAAAAATGTAGCATAGACATTTATTCGCCAACTGCTTTACATGAAGCCGATTCCTGCAAGGCGTTTGATCTGCCTACTTTTTCCAAGGATGAGTTTTTCAGACTCCCAAAAATGGCTTCATGAATGCTATAGGATCCGTGGACCCTTATTTGAGAACCACTGCTTTAAAGCATTCCATGAGTGCGATTCGAGCTCAGGCCTTCTAGTACTGACACCTGATGCTCTAACCACTATGCCACAGGCACACACCTCATCAAGCCAAACAGAGTATCTTTAGCAATGTCTCGCATGCAAACAAGCGCATTCAGACACTTGGCATGTCTTCCACATTGCAGATGGTTTCTTCATCCTGGAAAGCGAGCATGCTCTTGGTATGTTTTCGCAACGGTGACATAGTGTCCTCATATCACCATCATGCTATATTAACAATGATACCCAATGCCATACAATTGCTGCTGCGATTTCTTTTTGTTGTGAAGAAATAAATGACAGTTCATGCATCAGTTAATGTTTAGAGTGAAAGGAAATGCCCATAACCAAGGTTAAAATAAGCTGCAGCACTTAATTTTGATAAATTTCAGTCTCATTATCTCCTTCAGACCATTGCCAAGGTGATTTTTAATTGATTGTTTGTAAGCTTTGCAATCGTAGCAGCTGCAGAGCTCCCTGTGTCTCGAGACCATCACAAAGGTGAAAAGAAATTTCAACCTCTGTGCATGTACTAAGTGAACAGAAGAGCAAATACAAAAGCCACTAACCACATGGTTTGCCAATTTTAGCAGTGTCTATCTGCTCCGCCGCAAACTCAAAAAGGTCACAGAGTTCTTTTACCTCTGGGTTCTCGGGCAAGTAGAACACCTGAAATTCACAAAACAAAGCATATTACTTCAATACAAGTTTTAGACTCTTCACTTAGGTGGATTAGTTTTCGAAAAAGTAAGAAAAGAAGAAAACGGCATAATTCATCTTGTGCTTTGCTCGTAAGAAAACGGCATAATTCATCTTGTGCTTTGCACGTAAGAAAATGTTGGCACTTACAGGCCTTTTAGGATGATGTATAAGCACTTGTGCTCTGTAAGACACCCAACACAGAATTGTAAGCTTTGTGTAAAGTGTCAGGAACATCAGCTATTACCAGCTTTTCAACTTCACACACTTGCAACTCCTGCAAGCATTTGGGATGATGTGTTAAATGAACCCTGACAGGAATATATTCATAAGTGCCTTTTTTTATTTGTGGCTTTGTGTCTGGTAATGCCAAAATTGAATCGTAAATTTTCTAATGTCATCATAAAATTAATACGAGCATCGCTAATTGTAAGCAATTATGGCATCCCTTCGAAACACCCGCCTAAAATTGTAAGAAACTAGAGCCCCAGAGAAAAGCACCTAAGACCGTGTGCCCGTGGCATTGACTGTGCAGTTTTCAAATCAAAGCCCCATACCTAACAAAGGATGAAATGATATGGGTGCTTTGGTAAGAATTAAGCCTGTTAAAAGCATGTCCCCTCAGCAAAAAAAAAAAAAAATTCTGGTGTAAGCAGCCAAAACCACCTTGAGAGCAGGACAACAAAGCAAGAAGGGGTGAAGAGCAATAGCACTTGTTGGGTACCAGTTGTGGTATTGTGTGTGCCCTGCAAATCTACTGCAATGACAAAACTCGCTATTCTTGTGGGACCCGGTACAAGATCGCTTCATCTAATTTACTACTAGTAGCAATGCTGCGAGGTGCCACCAACTCAGATGAACACTCACACTCACTTTAAAACCAAATTACTTCTCTTCAAGGCAACGTTCTCCCCTAATAATCAGCCGGAAGTGCCCACGGATACAAGACAATTAAACAAAACAAACATCTCGCGGTTTTGATTTTGGTGTCAGGAGCCCTTTAGAGAAAGTAAATTTTGGAAATTGTACACACTAAAACCACAACAAGACAATTATGACTGCTGGAGGACAACTACATACAAGTACAAAGTGGATCTAAATGTAGTTATACAGGTGTGCTTGCATTTTACATTAATCCAAATGTGGTTGCAGTGCCCTCGAGTTTAAGCCGCATTTTCAAACATAGAGGCGCCCAACACGTTAGCTGCCAATCTATTGCAAGCGCCAGGTGTGGAATAATGTGTTCAAGTGACTTGAAAGAGGTCCACAAGTGTTGAAGATTGGGCGAGTTGGTTCGTCGTACTTGAACTGGTATCGCGCATTACGGGGAAGTAGAAAAACAGGCCGAGCAGACCGACACAAGAGGACAGAGCGCTAACTTCCAACGGAGTTGGAAGTGTTCGTTGGAAGTTAGCGCTCTGTCCTCTTGTGTCGGTCTGCTCGGCCGTTTTTTCTACTTCCCCGTAATGCGCTATACCAGTTCAAGTACGTTGAAAGAGGTGTTTAGCATATCATGCTTGTGGTGAGGGCCTGAAAATAAAAACACATGCACTATCATTTAAATATCTATATATATGTTTGTAAGCGTTCATATCAGTGCCCTGGCACTAAACACCTGTCATGCCACATTAACAACTGCATCAGAATATATTCTCGTGAAATTATTTTACTGCATGGAGCTAAGTCTTCGACAACAAAGAGTGCTTAAAACATACTTATGTATAACCATTTTAATCAGAAGAAAAATATTAGCTAGAGGATTTGCCTTTTAACTTAAGAATGTTCCAGCAAATCCTTTTAACTTAAGAATGTTCTAGCATGGCAGTGAAATGCCATGCAAGAGCGCCTCCGCTTGAGCACAGGTAGCTGCTTGCAAACTAATCAGAAGTCATAGGTACTTATTCGACCGATTGCAGCATCAACTGTCAGTAACATCACTGACGTAGCATGCCGATGCCACACACACCACCGGGGAAGCTAGGAAGGGTGAAAAGAACATCACTCTGAATCGTGGCACACCCGTGATTTTCACAGCCACGCGAGGCATCGTAGATGGCAATAGCGTTCCTGAACACAATGCATGTGTTTACTTGAGATCTTTGAAAAAATATCACAGCTGGTTTAGGGGATTTTTAATCAAGATGCATTGGGTCAAACTATCCTTTAGAAAAAACTCTTGATTGGACTTACAACAACACGATGTGGTTTTATCCCAGGCTGCATCACGAGAGTCTCCAGTGTCAAAGGCAAATGACGTACGTCTTCCCCTGGAAAAATATATGTAAGACACGTACAGAGCGAAGCACAGGAGAATAGCCAAAAGACGAGAAAAAAGGCCTCCTTAGAAGACTGCATATCCAAGCAACGCACCGCTCATTACAATCACAGGTGTTGAAAAGATCTTGCTGCTTGGATACCTCACGCTAGGGTTAGGTGAAAGTGAGTTGTCCACCACGTCCCCTGAATAGGGTTGAGAAAGAGAGAAAAAAAAAAGAATGTTTGCAAGTACAGTAGGTGAGCAGTGTTCTTCGGTGCAGCATAATATTAAAGCAGTATAAATGTAGATTTAAAGTGGCACAGTAATGAAACCTCTTTACGGCACATTAATGTCTCCCATGGGTATGAACAATCTTCTAGAAGCGGTAATACCTTATGTATTTTCCATGTATTCCGTTATTTCAAACCATGTTGCTGTTTATTCTGACCAGATTCTGCTGCGACATGCCATTTTTAAGTTTATCACAGGAAGTTTTTGTTCAACGTAACATGCCACCTGCATTTTGTGTGTGCCCAGTGCACTCAGCTTTAAGATCAGCTGTATCGGGGTCTTGAGTTTCATTCATTCACTTTCAACGAATCGCTGTGTTCTGCAACATTTCAATATAAAGAACTGCTCTCAATTTAATAATATAAGCATTAATTATTTGGTTTTATAATTGATGATTTCAATGTCGCTTTAGCTGTGGCATAACATTTCCACTGAACGTAGAGTTTGTGTGTGAAGACACCAGGTGCATGATTGTCATAGCGTTTTTAGAAAAAATCTGTACTTTCTTAAAAAAAAAATAAACATCCTGAATGATTCTTAAACTGCTAGATTTGGATAGATTGCCTGATCAATCATTGTGAATCAAACATGCCAGATGCATAAAGTAAGAAGTATGAGCAAATTTTGTCTTTCGATGAGACTCAAAACAAGAAGTTGGCTCTATGCTAAACAATTGAAATTAGATCTATGTACACTGAGAAGCTAACTGTTTAACATGAAGTAAAGGAGATTCATTAGAACCTCGCTTTATTTCACCTCGATATTAAGGGTGAAGGCTAAGAATAATCTGACAATGCACTGTTTATATCTTCTGTCACTTTTTCCTGGTGTGGCACTGATACATGACAGCATGACATTGTACAAGTGTCAAAAGTGTTTTTCACACTCTGATGACATTTGTTACCAGCGATGCGAATGTTACAAAACTAGCTCCGAGCTCAACGACCATTTTCTGACATTATCAGGAAGGGTGTCCCGTGAAAGCTATCACAATTATGCCTCTTCATGACAACATAGCCACTTAAAATTACGGCTACTGTGGTATCATAAACAACTCAACAACAGTTTTTGCAGAAAACACCAGTGGTCCACAATTACGTACCTGAACAGAATGAAGAAAAGTGCTGGTATTTTTTGCAGAAATGTCTTCTTGCCAGGTTCTCCTGAGGCCTAGGGTCTGGGTGAATACTCCTTCCGGACACTTGAGGGGAGGTGAACAGAGCACATTACTGTTCAAGCAACATATCTGCATATCTACGCACAATCAATTAAATCTCAAGCAATGGCTTTATACTATACTCACTCTGAAACGGTATGCAGAATCGAGTGTCATGGGGGACAGCCCAGCCTTTCGCTTCTACGAAGTGCAGCTATTGGCAGAGATCACATGACATGTGCTGTTACTACGAGTTCTGCTCATCTGAGCATGAAACAAACTTAATTCGCCTGCACTTTTATGAGTCATTGCTGTAATAATAAAAATAGATACATTAATTATTTATCTATCTATTAAAACCCTCAAGGCCAAAGGCATTAAAGTGGGGAATGGTTACAGTAAATTACAGAAAAACATGAAAGCAGACAGAATATTTCAGAACAAAGTGGGAGCGGGTGAATACTAAATTCAAGGTTCAAAGCGAATAGCGAAATGGTCTGAGAATTTCCAAGAAAAGAGTTTGAACAGCATGCATCTCAGATTATTGAGAAAATTTAGCATTTTAGTCATGACCCTACTAACTTGCACAATATTTTTAAGAATTAAAACAAGGCATGTGTGGGTCAGTTTCTTGATTCTAAGTGAAGTGAAAGCAACCTTGAATAGAAGCAAGATTCGCATAGCAATAGAGGACAATTTATAACTGGTACAGTACGTAAAATTATAAAAATTACTATTTCAGCATGTAGAAGCCTGTATAAAACACTTTTAGCTTTAAACAGAGGTGAACAAAATATGTACATTTAGCCTTTAAGTGTGCATTTACGACAGTACAGATATCGTCTTAAATAGGTTGTTTCACGGCATAGCAATCCTAAACTGCAGTGAAGCCACCTTTATAGAATTATATGTACCTAGTAAATGCACAATTGTCAGCAACGCTAACGCTCCGCAGTCAGTTCTGGAACGGTTTGATGAAGTTAAAACATGGCGTTAAATGCATTAATATCTTAAGGTCCCAGCCAGAACACCCACTTTCCCAAAACTTGGCACAATGACCATTAGGATATATTATGCATGCAAATGGCTACATACATGAACACTATATAATGGATTTTGGTCTATGTTTTTTGAACCAAATAATGCTGAATTAAATAAATTTTGGAACATAGACAATAAAGTAAAAAAAGAGAGTAATACTTCTGAAAGGGTAAACCAAGGCAGTGTCATAAAAGCAATGAACAAAACATCTTTTCGGCATCTATTGTAATTGCATACAACTCAAAAAAACGAAAATATTCACATGGTTCATGCAAGGGCAAAACAACATACAAACCTAGTGATGGATATTACACACAAAGCAAGCAGTTCTGAAATGAAAACCAAACAAGAAATTTATAAATAGGGCTTCTGCAAACAAGAAAGAAAACGAAGCAGTCGATTAGTGAATGAACAAGCACACAAAGAAAGCATATATAACCTCACGATTGTAACCTAAAAAAACTTGCCAGTACTTAAAGAGGCCCTGCAATGTTTTTTTAGTGTGATCAAAAGACCTGATTCTTATCGGTGGTACAAAAGGAGAGACAAAGTGCTTGAAGTAGTCGACAAATTCCTGTAACTGTGCTTGTATTTTGTGGATTCTAAACATTTATTGTGACAGTCAATTTGTTTGGCAATGAATTCCCACGCTGAAATCGTTCTATGATTACTTGAAAAAATGTTGCAGGGCCCCTCTAACCTGGAGCACACCTGGACATCTGGTTATACATAATGTTAGTTTAACAAATAGTACTGCACAAATTTGCCCTGGCTTTTACTAAAGAAGCCGTGCAGTCTGTATAAAGGCAGTTTTGTTGTGTGATTTGCTGAAAAAAGCTTTAAGTGCAAGTTAGCCTGTCCTTTCCTTTCAAGCGGGGCTGTAATGTTTACAAAATATTCTGTGTCAAGTCAACGCTCATGGGTAGTCTGAACCTTGCCAATTTTGTACAATTAGATCAAGTTAGCCTCACAAGGCCTAAAAACGATGGTAGTCCTTGTGATGTAGACCAGTATGAATTGCTTTTGGGGGCATAAACAAATTATAGCCACACGTACGTCTTCGTAAGGTGAGAACCCAGATATGCCTTTCTGAGTGATGAAGTACCACGAGGAGCGGTAATGCAGGTTCTGTGCCATTGCACTGCCAAGTTCATGGAGAAGGAGCCGAGCGATCTGCGAAAGCCTGTAATTCATTGAAGATGAGTATTGGGCACCGAGTACATTTGTGCAAATGACGACACAACAAATACAATCACCACAATATGTTGCAAATCGCTGTACACATTTTCACTACATTGCTCTTAAGTGAGACAATGGCATCACTAATTAGTAGAGCGATGAGTGCAAGTTTTCCAGGGTGGAAAATGGGTGATTATTTGGATCGAGTTCCTTATGCATCAAATACTTTCAGATGTGCAGGTACATTTCATAAATCTACCAAGCTGGTTTCCCCTGAATGCTGCAGGTACCAAATAACAAAGCCAGGAGGGCATCTATCATGAGCTCAGCGGTCACAAAATTAGAGACACCATATAGACAGTGGCAAAGCACGCATTTTTTACATTCCTACGCCCCCCCCTCCCTTCATTTTTGTTTAGTAGGCTGGAAACAACAGTCGATTCTGACATCCATGCCAGCTTTCCTCACAGCAAGTGTCTTTAAAAATCATTAAACATTTTTTGTTTCTCTAGAGCAAGAGAACAAAGACAATTGAGAAGGATGTCCCGAGTTTGTCTCAAGCCATTGACATATCTTGACAAGAGCTTTATTGAATAGACCTAAGGAGAATGATGACCGTAGCCCAAGGGCACCCCTATCAACTCGGTGGCTCCAATACACAAATTTTACAAATCTTAAGGGGTGGAATAATGGCGTCTACAAATTTCCCCCTCAATGACTAGCACAACTTTTAGTGCCAAGTTAACACAGATATGAAGGTTTACCTTCAGTGCATTTTCTATTTGTACAAAGCTAGCATTATTTGTAAATTTTTCTGGCAATCTTTCTTTACTTTTGATTGTGTTGAGAACAAGTGGTATTTCCTGATTTATATCAATCAATCTAAGGGCACCTCGGTGAGTATCTATCTTAAAATTTGTGAATAATGAAGGCAAATAATACAAGAGCCTGGCTGTAACATCTTTTTAGCGTGTCAAAATGTGAGAGTAAGTAACACTACTAGGAGATTCAACTCACTTGCGTGTAGGTTCATCAAATGTAAGCAGAATCAAGATGTCTCCTTGCCTCAGGTTTAAAAGTAGTGTTTCAAGCTGAGACGAGTCTGGAATAATAAAGTATGACCAAGAACAATCAATCGTGCACAATAGAGTCGAAGCAAAAAGTGCACGAAAAGTAATATGACATGATGCGATTGGCTTGTTTCAATGAGATTAAAGCGCAACTAGAATTACTTTTTCCATAGGAAAAGAACACGCTACAGTCAAACTACACAATTCAACGCATGGGGGAACATTACCTGAGAAGTCATTTTTACTAATATTGGTGGGATAGAGTAAAACCTTGTCAGTACATTTCTTCTCGTTACATTCGCCTAACTGTTAGCTCATTTAACTTTCACAGGATTACGTGTAATTATCAACTTCCCGTTTCCTACATTTCTTTACCCAGCTACTAATCAAGAAATGTGTCGTCAACTGCACTCACTGTGACTTCAAGTCACAGCGGCTTGCAGCCCCATTTTTACAGATAACACAAGTGACTATTGTGATGATATCATGCTCATCAAAATCAAGTTTTGCTGGTTCTTGTGGTCTCTTTCAGGAGTTCCCTAAAGGAACACAACGATCAAATTTCATTGTATTTACCTAGAATTATTAAACGGCAAGTACAGCACTACCATCATTACTAAAAGGTCGGAGTGACACCAAAAAAACATTGCTAAGACCACTGCTGTAATGATCAATTTATCAACATAACTTCCCTTTGCAGCCAGTTTCATGAAGCACTACCTGTGCATCATTTTTATGTCTCAGACTACATGTAATTAAGTGGCACTACAGTGGTACAAAATCTTGAATAGTACAAGCAAATTGCTCTTCAACTATTTTAAAGGCGATAAAAGCTTTTCCCCACCAAATGAGTGTAAGTTGAGTGCTCGTGTGTTACCTGAATAAATGACTCAACAATGCCTCTTTATTCATTAACTTGTTTCCACATTATCTGAAAAATTATGGTAGAAAGTAGGGGTGTGCAAATATTCGAAAGTTTCGATTATTCGTCGAATATTGCATTTGTGATAGTTGCATTATTTTTGATAATCAAATATTTGAAAATTTTGAATATTTCAACTCGAATATTCGGTGTTCACGAATATTCATTCGCATATGTCACTTTGAAGAACATACGATTTCGCGCATTTGCGATAAGAGCCTCAGTAGATCATGCAGTGATTACTACGGCTACAGCAAGAATGCAGTGATGCTTGCATGGAAATCCACAGGAGCGATGACGGCTACTGAGGAATAATGCAGCACGTCATCCCGACAAACCTGCCAACGATAAACATCTCAATCAATCTAAATCATATACTGCTAACACAACAATACGTGTGGCCTAGCGGTCTAGCGCTGTTACAATTCATATAAGCGTACCGACCATGCCATCCGCTGCCACGCCCTTGTGCGCGAGACCGCAAATGCATATCGCTTGTGGAAACCAAGGCAACTCACCGCCGCCACATAGGCTCGACGAAATAGACTTAATACCTTTGCTCGGTCCTGTGCTGAGCGAGCATGAAGAAAAAAATATCTCTACACAAGGGCCAATGCACGCGTATACGCTACAGGACGCGGCACTGTTGGAGTGAGCTTAGTACAATTTGTCTAATTGTTACCCCATTCCCACTGCTGCAAATTGGGAATAGTACAGCTTATTCTCGAACTTAAGTGGCCACCAGCGATAACACTCAAATCTTCGATGCCACATGTATAAATGCCAACGAGATTTACCGCTTGGTAGATCACTCAATGGCCAACATTGTTCTTGCTGCTATCAGCGTACGGCTTGAATTACTTGTACTTAAGATTTTCCGAGCACAACTTCATCTAAACAAAGAGTTTCATCTTGATCGTGCCAACTGCTGCCTTTGTCAATGTCACGACCAGGTGACGATATGAACCCCTAGGAAATAAGTAAATGCAAATGTGGTAACTTCTTTTCAAGTGTCATACCTTCTTCATACGTGTCAAAGTGGCTGACATGCTGCACGAAACGTGTGACGCTGTCGATGACTGCCACGTTCATGCCACGCCCACCACTGTTCAAGTTGGCTCCAAGGATACTGACATGAAGAAATAAGCTTTGTCAGTACTACAGTAATATAAAGAGAACCAGAGTGAGAGAATAAGAATGCAACTTTGCCTTTACTAGTGCAGAAAGACTTGTAGACTTTCATGATATATACTACTAGATGTTTGAAAGACGGACAACGGAGCAAGCTGCTGTTTTAAAGGAACATATCATACTGGTAAGTTGCAAATAACATAGTGAACACTACAGGCACATCGCAATCCACTATACACTGGCATTAAAGGGACCGATAACTAATCAGGACTTGAGTTCAGATAGGCCCTTTAATGCTATATTGGTATACCATTATATATGGTATACTGTATTTGCTGAAACAAGCCTTCTTTTTCTCATTAGAGACGGACTTATTTACGTCTTTAATGAAGTCACTTTTGGTGCCTCACATGGCAAAAAAAAAAGAAGCATATGACAATGATCACAAGACTTTTACTGGTGCACACAAGTCTCTATATCAGTGTTTAAATGCAGTATGCTTTATTTTAACAATTTTTTCTAACCTAAAATGCACGGATACACCTTCACTTGTAGGGAGCAAAATAGTGGCACCTCCTTAAATTCACGAATGATCCAATGCTCATTAACAGCAGCACCAGGTCTCTGCAATTGGCTGTGGCAATAAGCTAATCGAAGACGCCACAGGCACTACGAAAATCGTAAAACTCTTAAGCTTTGCCTTTAGGAGTTTAACGCGACAACGATATTCTGTTCCTAGAGCGCACTTCAAACACTTAGTCCATGAAATGTTTTCAAACTTGCTATGCACCCTTTACGTGACCTTAAGGGTGCAGTAGTGCGTGTGCTTTTGTAATGGGTGGCTGGCTTTAAACAATGAAGTCATTATGATAATCCTGTGTTCTGACACCCGATGGCAATGTACGCTTATACCACACTTTTTTATGGCAGTATTTCATGTTGTATTGCGAAGCATGTACACTAGATGCATGTGTTTGTAAAGCATGAAAGTTACTTTCACTGCATCTCCAAGCAAAAGAAGTTTATTTTCACTCTATTTACAAGCAAAAATATGGCTGTGTGGTAGAATGCCCGCTTGCCACGCAAACGACCCGGTTTGGATTCCCACTACAACCCTGATTGATTGATTGATATGTGGGGTTTAACGTCCCAAAACCACTATATGATTATGAGAGACGCCGTAGTGGAGGGCTTTGGAAATTTAGACCACCTGGGGTTCTTTAACGTGCACCCAAATCTGAGTACACGGGCCTACAACATTTCCGCCTCCATCGGAAATGCAGCCGCCGCAGCCGGGATTCGAACCCGCGCCCTGCGGGTCAGCAGCCGAGTGCCTTAGCCACTAGACCACCGCGGCGGGGCACCCCACTACAACCCGGAATGCTTGCTACGCAAAACGCGCTCTTTTAATGCTATCACATTAAAAGTTAGTTGGGCACTAGGGGCACATGCAGACAAGTTGGAGAAGCACCTCAAGCACTTGGTCAGTGAGGTAGTAAAGAGACTTCACATGACAACGAGTGTTTGAAGTACTACTAATTCTACCGACTTTCTATGCTAGAAAATCGATTGAAAATCACCATATGAAACTGGTTAACCACGGTTGGACTCATTCGTGTGAATGTAGAATGTTGAGCGTAACGAACAATTTGCAAAAAGGGCTATCAAAATTGCTATCAGTACTAGGCATTGTTGGAGGAAGCAGTCCCATTTTTTTTGTCACTTCTCAGGTAGAAAAGTTCTCTTTACAAAATATCGACACACAAGACAGTGTAACAAGTCACTGCAAGTTTAACTACTCAGCGGGAGCTTTTGTAGCCCCATAAGAAACTGGCCAGAGAAAAGTCGGTTGTCAGTCCCTTTAAAGCTAGTGTAGTGCGAAGTTAGAGACAAAATGCTGGCAATTGTGTCAATAAATAAGCCCAGTCGATCACAACAATGCTAATCACAAAATATATTTAAGTAAGAGATGAGGAGACAACGACTTAGAAACAATGAAAAACCTATTGATATTCCGTCCTTATTCTCCTTATAAATACAAAAGCACCACCATTTGCTATTGTGAACACCTTAAGCAGTAGATACTAATTAGGTGTAGCATATGCTGTAACAACTGTGAGCGAAGTCACAGTCACATCAAATATGCAGCGTCCAGCATGTGGGAAAGCCTGCGTACACGACCATACATGAAATCATTGTTTTTAAATTTAAACGCCAATTTTATTGACAAGATATTTTCTTCAATCCTGGTGTCACTAGGCACTCGGTGGCTTATTTTAGGGCTTTAATTTCTGTTTTTATATAGCTGTTGGATGTCTTCCACAACCAAAAGATTTCAGTTCTTGCTCACTTCTTTGTAGTGAGTCAATGCACAGCAACGTTTTCGGCATGCATAAGTAAAGCTTCAGGCATACGCACTACTTTCCATCGACGCACAGCCTTGGCTGGTCATGGTGATCTTTCCCAGTAAAGATGTGGACAGCAAAGGAATCATTGGCACATGGCTCGGGCAAACCGCAGTTAGGAACACGCTCACCAATAAGTACAGCCGGAACGACATGTATGATCCTGGAAAAAAATAATAAAATTCATAATCTATTGTACTCTGTGAAGCTGGATGACGAGCGTAGCTGTAAAGCATACAACACAGAGGTGACACAGAATTCTGATGAAAGCTACAGACACATCCTATTGCACTGAGTAGCGGCGGCAGTCATCACAATGAAAAGCAAACGCAAACATGCTTATCACTATAAAGTCTTTACTAAGCAGTGATATATTCACCTGTCAATGAAAGCACCTTCAGCTCAAGAGTCAAGACTAAAGAGAGCCGTGAAAACAATGATAATAATTGACTGCAAATTTAATATTAATGATTAAAAGAACCAGCTATGAAAAAGCAGCATTAAAACAAGAATAGAAAACTTGCTAATGTACAAATAAAAAAAATTTGACCTGAACTCTGACTGGTAGGCTGTAATTTTAAAAACCCACATCGATGCCACGAAAGTCCTCAAGGGCAACACAATGGCTCAGCAACTGAACACAGGGCTGTTAAAGAATAAAAATAAAAGCTATATTGCCGATCTCATCAAGCCATCAACTGCTGATGGGGCAATATTAAAGAGCCACTCACCAGGCCTCATACCGAATTTTAGTTAGACAGTGGAAGTTGTTGGGTGTCTGATGAGGAAGATTTTGCCACAAAAATTTTTCTGATGCGTTCATCACGAGCGGAGAAAACAGGTTTTTTGAAGCAGCGCAAAACGAGAATGAGAGGAGGCAAGCTGAAAACCCTTGCCGCTCCTCCGCGTAGCCTTCGCAAGCCAAATCTTTTCCCCACACTCTCCAGCATCTGACCGTTAGGTGACGTGCGCATGACGTGCCCAAACAAGTCCAACCCCCGAGCACGAGAGCAGCGTTGCTTTGTTGACCAGCGTTATTTTGTGGTCTTCTGCCTGTTTCTGCGAGATAGTTTGGAAACGCTGGCTTAGACGCGGTAGAGTAGATGAGCACAATGAGTGCACGAACGTGTAGGAGCGTTCCACGGCGGTCGTCTGCTCAATGCGCTGACCGCAGGGACACGAACGCATGCGAAACGCTGGCACATTAGCTTCGCATCTCGTAGCAGTTCACCGAAAAAATGAAAGAAACACATGCACAATTTTTATTGCATCTCATTATTTATTTCAAGTTTTATTAATTTTTTAAAGCAATAAATACATAAACTATGCATGTTGTGTTAAATAATTTTTGCCATGTCGCATGGTATACTGTTGACAACGTCAGACCAGAGTCGTCTACGTAGAGGACCAACATCATTGCATTGCCGTATACGCAGGGCCATTCATACGCACATGTCATGCCCTCATTCTCTAGGCGTGCGCCGGCAGAGGAGAGGGGGAGCAGCGTTCATCTTGAACTTTGATCCATTTCCGCGGTGCGTAGCATTGCAAATTTTGGCAAATGTGATCGTGAACGCCTCGTCTACGCTTTGCGCTTGTCAGCTCAAAATTGTAAAACCTGGTGAGTGGCCCTTTAAGTTAAAGAAACATGTACAGCCACAGCCACGTCTGTGTAGAGCGCGCGAGTAGCCAGTTTTTGCTCAGCGGGGCGACACCTTGAGGCAGTTTCGGGCTCTAATGTGGTCTGTTAGGAGCAGCCCCACCGCAGTAGTCAGGCTGAATATGCTCACAACCTGAAAATGCCTCAAGGTGTCACAACACTGAGCAAGAAGTGGCTACTCACGCGCTCCACGCAGGCGTGGCCACGGCTGTACAAAGTGCTACACTGACTGACTTTCGAGAAGGCTGAAAGGAAGATTAATATGGCCTACAAATGCAGCTCCGTTTCTTTAATCTATCGTGTATACCTCAACTTGAAAATCCCTCGAAACACACATTCTCATACGCTTATGTTTCTTTAGTGGAAGCGTGTGTCAAAGTGTGAGTATTTCACGGGATTTCCAAGTTGCACAAAATTACCGACAATATGACCAGCTACCAACCAGGCAAACAACAACACTTAGAGGGACACTAAATTCAAATAACAATTTATGTCAGAGTGAAGCTCAATGTACGACAACGTTTAAAACAACAAAATTATCAACAGCAGTGCCCTACTTACCGACAAACGAAGGTGAATGCATGAGAACATATGCACCACAATTCAGACATTCGAGACATGATCCCGATGATGCTAGACTTACTGCCTACAGTTAATCACTAGTAAATGAACTAGCTGGACTAAATAAAGAACCTTCCGTGCATCAAGAAATGTAGTAAAGTGCTACTTATTCATTTTTGTTTGATTCATGGAAAAATAAACCACCAGACGTTACTATGGAGAATGGCACAAGTGGTTCAAAAGTTTAATTTTCACCTGGTTAAACTGGAGAGGCCGGGCCATCTAGCGGGACCCAGTTGAACCAAGCACGCCAGCCATTTCGGAGGCCATGACAGGAAATCGTTCAATGACCGTCGTTGCTTCTGTGGCTCCCGCTACTTTCGCTCTGCTGCTACTAGTGTCAGCGGCCTCGCAGTAAAGCCAACATTTTGCACCGCGACAGTGGCATGAGTGTTTCCGCATGGGGCGGGTAATTTGAAGTGTGTTAACGTGATTCGGACCACTAGAACATGATTTTGTTTCAAGATAAGGTCTTCCTTGGCACAAAAGTAGCACTATGAGGTTTCTGGACCGCTATTTCAACAATTAACATCGACTTAATATTTTATTTGCCTTTAGTGTTCCTTTAATAAGAAATGTTTCTGATAATTGTGACATATCTCAAAAACATTGCCACTAGGTGCCAAGAATACTCAAGAAAGTAGGCTCCTATTTAGTGAGCCACTTACTCTGATTCTGTATCCACCTTCAATCCATTCAGGAACCCCGTTAAGCTTGTCATGCTCATGTGTATGTCCTCGTAGAGCGAACCTGCTGAAAGGCAGATGCGAGTTACAAACCAAGTTCACTCAATTACATATCAACTTCATTACATACATTAGAAGTTCATGAGACACCAACGACTCATGAACTTCTAAATCCGTTCCACACACATATACACATTTCTGTGTGTGCGCACGTGTGTGTAAAGAGAGACACTATGAGAAGCAATGGTGTCGACCAGGGAGGGAGTGTCTGTTTCAACCCGACCCCCATCTTTTACACGAATTTTCTCTAATTTCGCATATTAATATAAGCACGCATATATACAAGCACATGCCAAGGCATAAGTTATGGCATAAGTTATGACTGAACAACCCTAAAATTCCCAAAAGTATCACGCTACGCTACTAGTGACAAGCTTTTCAGTGGGCAACGTCCCTCGCTAACGCAAGAACTAGCTTAGTAACATTCCCTATACACTCTCTAGCATCATTGTCGGTTGGTTCTCATCCCTATTGTCCCTAACAAGGAGAGCGATCCCTTAAGATTACACTCCTTTCCTTCATAGCGGCCTGAAGGTGCAGGTAAGACAAATAAAGGTAGCAAACTCACGTGCGCTAAAAACGCGAGCCATGCAAAGCAAAACAACCAGAAACCTAAAGAAAGGAAGCAGTCATTCAAAGACACTTTGATGGTTCATTAGCGTCAGCATTCCACACAGTGTAAATAAAGCGGCGACAGTTGGTAACTCACCGGTCGAGTTCAGCCCCAGTGCATGATCGTCGCTGCTGGCGTTATAACCTGCGCACGAAAAGGGAGCGCTTGTATTTTACTACTATTCGACAACATCCGAGAAAGCCTACCTTTCCAGGATAACCAAGGTCTGAAAAGGAGGTACAGCACAGAAATGGCAAGAACGAGCTTCAGACGCAAGTGGGCAGCTGAAAGTGAAACCACAGGGACAATCGAGCAAGCGCCTACAAAGTGTCATGCAGCTCAGCTTACCGCTCCCACTTTTGAACAATTTGTAGCAAACCACTCTCGCTATTATCACCATGTCTTATATCTGTTATATAAAATCGTTCTCATACAAATTACAACACGTTCCTTCATCTGCGCTAATCTACACCAATTTACCAATTTTTGTTTACGCAAGAAAGCGCCATGTTGAATGTGGTTGCCAGCCTACAATCTTGTGAGCTCTTAATTTGTCGAAATTTAGTCATGCAGCCATTATGAAGACAAGAGTAAAGGACTCTTGAAATTTGCTTACGAGATTTCGTTGACATACTGCCTGCGGATTGAAACACGATGTGAAAACAATACAAGGGCTGGTATGCGTAATAGTTTTAAATAAAAATAAATGCAAAAAGGTTGCGCGCGCGCGTGTGTGTGTGCGTGTGTGCGTGTGTGCGCGCGCGCGCGCGCGCGCGCGCGTGTGTGTGTGTGTGTGTGTGTGTGTGTGTGTGTGTGTGTGTGTGTGTGTGCGTGTGTGTGTGTGTGTGTGTGTGTGTGAGTGGCCTACTATCAGTATGACCTCATGTCACGTTATTCATGTCCAGAACCTCACTGATGTTGTTCGTTATACTATCAGCCTTACGTAGGCTCACGTTTATACTCACGCCAACTCACGCGATTTTCAAAGCATCAGCGTTTGTTCGCCAGCTCAATAATTATTCATCAGAGGCGTCAGTGAGGAGGGAAAGGTTGTTTGTCTTCTTTTTCTCCTTCCCTACAAACCTGGGAACAGTTCCCTTTTTGAGGGAGGGTTTTTCAACCCCACTAACGTCATCGGCTGTTTGTTGGGCTAAATGTGGCCTTTTTCAACTTTAGTGGACCGAGGACGAGTTGCAGAATTTACTTAATCTTTGTGGCGTGTATCCGTTTTTATGATGGACCATCACTTCATGACGCGGTGTGACGACATTACACATCGACAAGATGAGAACCTAAGGTTCAATGGGACGTCATCATCACCTCATGATTGCGTCACAAATAATGTCTACCTTAATTATGTCGTCACGATGCCACGATGGCATGATGTCATCACTGGAAGTTAACTTTAGGACAGACGGTGACTACATAACACACTGTGGGAGACGCCGACAAGCCAAGCCCGTGAGGTTCTTCGCACCCAAAACTCTCAAAGTGCTTTTGGTTTGTTAAGAGTTGTTGGTTGGTTCGATTTATTCATATAAGTATTGCTCAACTGATCACCACTGAGGACTGGCCGTGAACCTTGCGCGAAACATTTTTGTTGTTTCCGTTGTTCGCTCTCCCATATAGCTTACACCCACACTGGAGGAATAACCAGGAATTGATTATATGATTTTTTAAAGGGCCCCTGACACCGAATTTGGCAACTCGAAATACTTGTGTTGTTTGAGAGTCCTGCATACGGGACAATTCCACACCGGTTATTAGTGGCGGTCGCTTGAGAATATTTTAATTTGATTTTTAGAGTAAGGGTGCGCGTGCTCTTCCGAGTATTCAAGTTTTTTCTCTCTTTTTTTTGTGGTTTCACGTGGACTCCCTAGAAAAAAATTTTTTTCGGTGACTCTCTTTCCACGTAGACCAGGACTTTCGTTGTGACGTTGCAGAGGTCGACGTCACCCGGCGAGGACTATCGTTCGGGACCCCTCTCACTCAGTTACAGTGTAGCTCTGTTGTCGGGCTGCTCTCAAGGTGGTTCTGGCTGCTTACGCCAGGAATGCCTTTCTTTTTTCTGGGGGGAACACGCTCTAAGCACCCACATCGTTTAATTTTTCACCGCACGCGGGTCTCCCTACTTGAAAACAGCGCGTTTCAGCGCCACCAAAGCTTGGGTACACTGTCTCGGGCGCTGATCCACTGTGTGGCACTAGTTTCTTACGGTATTTTGGGCGGGCGCTTTGAACTGTCCCAATATTGTTCTGAATTTACGCCGCTAGTATTAATTATACGATACGCAAGAGCATTTACAATATAATTTCGGCATTACCAGACACAAAGCTACAACTTGCTGTAAAAAACTCACAAACAAAACATTTACTGTAATGGGTCTTTTAATTATCCTCCAAGAATCGATCAATGATAAAAAAGAAACACATCTTCGTTATCACGTACAGTATATAGTTTCCCAAAATGATGGGTTTTCTAAAGTGGTGACATTGACCGATAGAGTTGGTCTTGGCCTACTGAATTCCTCGAACATCTTATGGACTATTTACGGACGGCTTTTGCCGCCTTTTAGGCTGTTATCTTGTGTGTTTTGCATCCTTAACAACTAAACAAACAGGTATTCTCAAGAAAGTGATGGGATTGGTGATTTCGATGTTTCATTAACGTTGCGATATAAGCAAAGCAAAAAAAAAAACATAGACTTAACAGCTCAAGATGGCGGCGTCGAGATGTAAGAACGAACGAGGAGGAGGGGGGCGAGGGCTCGAAAAACCACGACACATCTTATACGCATATGCCATGTCAAATTCGCGTACAACTAATATTCATTATATGTGCTCGGTTCAGCTAAAAGAAGGAAGAAGCAGGCAACGACACGCGGGCCTTGTGCTCGAGATCCGCTCGAGCGACGGCTTCGAGCGCATCGTCGGGCGCGGGTCGTGCCGATCCGCCAGATTAGGCTCAACGAAATTCCGCCATGTACGTAGGCTCCAATGTCAGAGAATACTCCGAAGGTGACCGCGGAATTCTTCCCACCGGGAGAAAGGGGTAAGCCACCTCCCGCGCCCATCAAAATCTCGCCAGAATACATCGTAAAGCCCGGCCGAAAGTCCATCGACGCGACGAACGCCGAGAATCCCGATGTCACCACCACAAGGCAGGTGACTCCGGATGGCATTGTCATTACCCGAAAGAAGGAGAAGATCGCCATTCAGCCCGATGTCGTGGCAGTCGTCGAAACGGCTACCGCACAACCCCCAAGCGCTCCACCATCACCGCCTCCGAAGCAGCTCGTCAACGCAGCGCCGGGGCTCACTCCGTTCCACCAGCACTGCCTCCGTGTGCGACCAGTGCCTCCGCACGCTCTCCTACCTTTCGTGCGACCCGTACATCCGCAAGCGCCATATTGCCCGCCACCCGTGATACCGGGAGGAGTTCGCCGCGAGTCGGTAGTCGAGCCCTCGGAGAGGTTCAGCCGCAGCGTCCAGACCGACTGCCCCCTTCACTTCAAGGCCACCTTGGAGAGTGAGACCATCGAGTCTTCTCCGGATAACATCACAGGTATTCCATTCACGCCTATCTACCTGCCACCTTCGATGCAGAGGCAGATGAACAACTACGCTGTCCATGAGTCGACGCTGGCTCCGCAGCAGACCTGCAGAATCTATTCACCACCCCCGGTGATTGAGACTGCGGTCGGCGAGGGTCAACGCGCTTGCGTCACCCTCGAGAACGAGTACGACATCAAATTTCCGGCTCCTCCCCGGCGTGAGCCGTCGGTGAGAGCGGTCGGCTGCGGATCAATGGAGGAAGATGACTTCCTCGGCAACGCATCAATGGTCGCACAGACCACCATAATCCTGAACGAGGGCTCACCGGGCACCCCTGGTAACATTATCGTGCGTCGCGGCAGTAGTGCCACCAACTTAGCGACTTCGCCCATGGCGACAATAACGCTACCTCCTACCGGGCGGCGTATGACGACGCAGCAGATCACAGTCCCGCCCGTCGGACCGGTTCAAGTGTCGCCGCCGCAGATTACCTTTGCCCCTCAGCCGCAGACCATATCGCATGTGCAACAGACCACCTCGGGCGCGCAACCAATGGCCACAGTAAACATAACGTCTCGCATCCGCGACCTGACCGACCAAGTGATGCGCGAATCGAATCGCGTGAGCCGCGCCCGTGACAGACTACAGCGCCGCCGCCGCCCGGCCCCCCTGAACCGCGTGTATTCAGTCGAGGACAAGCTGTACAACCTTATGAACCTGGAGACCAAGCTGGCCAACGAGATCGCCAACTACCGAAACTCGGGACGTGTCCGGGACCCCGAGTTCCTATCGACACTGGCCGAGACGGAGAACAAGCTTAGGCGCTTGATTAGTGCGGAGAACAACGCGGCGCGCGACATGCGCCGCATCAAGAAGGAGAGCTTCAAGCAAGAAACCTACAAGGTTATATGCCCACGCCGGTCCATCACGCCGGCCTCGTCAGGGACATCGACCAGCATGTCTTCGTACAGTCCGTCGTCGACTTCCATAGCCATGCCTCCCATGTATCAAATGCCGCCCATGATGCCCATGCCAACGCCTCCACCGATGATGCCGCAGCCGCAGATGATGATGGGCGGCCAGCCCATGATGATGAGAGGCCCGTGCCAAATGATGCAGCCGGGAATGAACATGATGGGAGGCGGGCAGCAGCAGGGCTCACCCGGACCTGGCATGTATCCGAGTCTAATGCGCATCAGCATCGAGTCTCCCGAGTGTACTTGCACGAGTTTTACGTCGTCGAGCACCGTCTCTTCCGGCTCGGACTCGTTGCCCAAAACACAAGTGGCCAAGGAGGAGACCAAGGTGGTCGTGGATATGCCCAAGCCACCACCTGCACCGGCGACTCCTCCACCCCCGCCACCACCTCCAGCTGCGCCTCCTACGCCACCGTTGCCTATGCCTCCGGAGATGGAGCAAGGTGAACGCCGCCAAAAAAAGAAAAAGCGAAAGAAAAAGCGTAAGAAGAAGCATCATAAAGACAGCGATGACGGCTCGGGCACTCCGGACGACGCTGGGGGTGGTAAGAAAAAGCGCAAGAAGAAGCGCAAGAAGAAGCACAAAAAGAAGCAAAGCGAATAAAGCCGGGCAGACGTGCTTTCACGGGACTACCACAAGAATCGGATTAAATTCAGGCCTCTCCGGGCCGCTCTTCCTCGAAACCTTTGGCTTCTCTCACTTCTTAGCAGTAGAAGTACGCAGTGGCGTCACTGTTGTCTCCGTATTTCACTCCAGGGCTGTCTTAATTTAGTGATTCGTTTAGCTTGAACTTGTTCCGTTAATAAGGTCAATTACCGATCGATCGTTGTGGTAACCAAGGTGGAGTGTGGTTCGTGGCCACTAACAATGACAGCGATGAAAGAAAAAATCAAAGCACTGCTCACTAGTACATGATTCCTATAGTACAACGAACTTGTGATGAGAAATGGTTTTCCAAAAGCACACATATATGTATCGGGAACAAAAAAGTGCATGAGCACTAAAGGTATTGGGGGGGGGGGGGGGGTGGGGGTGAGGGGGTGATTAAGAACCGAGGTCATTCTTTGATACGCATGCCTCAACTACACACCTCACAGCTTATATTTGTGCAACCGCTGACACAGTGTAAAAAATGAAAAAAATATTTGCTCAACAGGTAGCCTCAATTCAACCGTCGACCGAGATTTTGACAATACCTTTGTGTCTAGCGCAAAACAAATGCCAAATAATCAGAAGGTTACCTACATCACCTGAAAAAGTCGGTAATAATATGCGACTGATGTGTCGGTATCAAACAGGCTGGGGTTGACATTACCTCTCCTCCTCTATAGTCTTTTTCGGTTTGACTTGTAGTTTACACGTCTATATTTATTGCAGAATTATTTGCACTTGTTTTAGAACTCCGCAAGCGTTCTTCAAGCGAATCAGCAGCAGTGACTATTGCAGATTATCTCAGTTTGTACTGCAAATTTATGTTTCGTATTCTAATCAAAGTAAACTTACAAAAATTAATTTCTATGGGGCCCACTGTCAATTATACTTGAACAAAATGTTGGTCTCATTAGCCACAATATTTTCGAGCGAACTCCTCATCCCAATTTCACCATATACGGCTTACGCAACAGCCTTGCTTCAGAAATGCATGCTTGTTTTCAGAGTTAAGTGGGTAAAGTATTACTGGATAAGTTCAAATAATTCGCACCCCTAAGATGTTGCTGGATTAAGCTGGGGTGTGTATCTCGCCTGTTTCTCACACAAGATAAATCTCGCCGTACAATTCCGCTATTGAGCTATTAAACTTGCGTTTCTCACACCAGATTTCGCCGTGCTATTTACCTATCCTATTATTAAACTTGCGTCTCTCATAATCATATGGTGGTGTTGGGATATCAAATCTACATTTTATATATTATTAGAAATATTAAACACACACAAACCTGGTTGAAAGGCATCCCCATTTTTCAACGAAATCGAAACAGTAGACTTTTTTTTTTCATTCCGTCACCGATGTTCGGGTCGAAGAATAAAGGTACCTTGTAGATTAAGAAGCTGGAATTAACAATAAATGTTGCAATAATTTTATCATCTGGTGGTACTTCACCAGGTTACAGCCACAGTGGTGTCTACTCTGTGTTTGAATAAACAAATAAAAAAATCAGGGGACGCTTGAGCAGAACGTTCAGGAAGAGTTCACGATAGCGTATTCGGGCCTCATGCGCACCACCTGCTTGGGTTCTAGGTGCATGACTCAACCGTGCTGTCAGGAACGCACGAATATCGCAAGCCCACAATGTCATAATTATTTTTTTGCGTGTGAATCAGTGAAGGGAAACGCACGGTGGTGATGGTGTTGCAGCAGGCGGGGTTAGCCTGCTGCAACACCACCACCACCACCACCGTGCGTTGCCCTTCACTGATTCACACACACACAAAAAAGTGAAGGGCAACGCACTAGCCTACGCAGTTCTTCGCTTTGCTGATGCTTCTGCTGCTTATTAACGCGATATCGTTAAAGAGCTCGTTTTCCAGAATTTAAGTCGTCGGCGTCGTTGGTTGTGAGCGAAAACTTATAATCTCATGCGTGACCGAAAAATTCAGACCTGTACGCAAATAAAATAAATATAAAAAAATCCTGGCTCAGAGTGGGGAATGAACCAGGTTCGTTTGCGTGGGATGCGGATGTTCTACCACACGTCCACGCGTCTACCTGTGGATACAGTGAGAAGAACCTCCTCTGCTTGGAAATTCAGTGAAAGTAACTTTCATATGCTTTACCAAACGCACGCGTCCTGTATACACACTTCACAATACAACATGAACTATTACCGCAATAATGCGTGGTACAAGCGTACATCGCCATCTGGTGTCAGGAGTTGGTATTGTCATAATGGCTTCGTGGTTTAAAGCCGGTCACCCACTACAAGAGGCACACAGGCTACGCCTATTCCCTTAAGGCATCTGTTGTAGGTTTAGATCAAGTTCTAAAATGTTTCATAAATTAAGTGTTTGAAGTACGCGCTAGGAACAGGATATCACTGTCACGTTAAACTCCTAAAAGCAAAGCTTTAGGATCCTCCAATTTTTTTATGATTAAATATCCCTGATCATTTTGTAATGGGTGGGCCTTTGAAGCAGCCACTCATTGTGGGATTCGCAAGTTTTGATGCTTTCAAACCATTACAAATGGTTTAGCCGTTGTTCTTTGAAGCCGTCAGCCACCGAAATAATAATGAAGTTGTGGGTACCTTGCAAGTGCACTTGTATCAGTAGCCCCAAGAGAGTTTGCAACAGGTTGTAGAAAGGCGCTCTTCCAGCTTTCACCGTGACTGTGCTGCACTTTCCGCGCGGCCCTGACGGTTGCTTTCACGTAGCAATATCAAAACATGAAGCGGCGCATCACAAGTAAAGCGATTGAGACCAACGACACATCGTTTTCACTTTCAAAAGTCAAACAAGGTAAGTGCCTCAGTTAAACTTCGCAGAATTTCAACGTCATGGTGTTTCAAAGCCAATTGCCAGCATTAGCAATCACTTGGCGATTATCTGGCTAGCACTAGACGACATTCATAATCATTTTGCCTACTTGAGGCAATACTAAATTCAGTTTGGTAGTGTCAACGATTTCCGGTAGTATCCAAATGAATAGGGAAATAAATATGGTAATTAAAGTCACGCGATCTTGAGGCAATTTACGTGAGATAGCACTCTTTTCGGGATCTGCTCATTTATTTCCGTCATAAAACACACATCGACCCTAGTTACACAGTGCGGATGGTAGAGGCAAAGATATGACACTGTATTCAACAGTGTCAATTGCATTCAACATAGGATATGCTAGTTCACGGCCTCGGCTGCAGACCGATATACGGGCCGACCTATTTCGAAGAGCGAGCTCGCAAAATTGGTTATAGGTTTCTTTTTTCCTCATCCGTGCGCCACCTACGACAAGACAATAGGCCAACTGACCATAGCCGCTGCTTTGAGAGAGAGATTCCTGGAAAAACCTCACTGCATGAGTAAAAAACCACATCGCATTTTTTTTTCTTGTACCTCTTATGCTCGTAACTTCTTCTCTCATGCTCGCAACTCCTCTTACACACTATCGGTGCCCGTTCCAAAATCTCCCAATTTTGAAAGTCGACAGCGAACGCTTGCTAAGGCGGAAGAGCTGGAGTGACCACCGCAAATGCAAACCAAATGAAATAAATGAGAGCCCCGGAAGCACTTCCAGAACTCTGAATTTCAGGGCCACGCTTTATTTGCCCATTGGAGCTTATCTGGCAGGCAACAGGAACACACTTCTCGCTGTGTCATATTTAGCAGTGGTAATACTTTAGTTGCGCATTTCAGTCTGCATGGCGTTGGAACTGTTTCTTTAGTTCTGGACTGCTTCAGATGTTAGCGACAACTCCACGCGCTGTGCCGTCGAAAGATACAGCACCCGCTAAAGATGTCTGCGTGACTCCTCCTTTGTTCGAGATGGTACTTCGCATCAAAATCTACGTAGGTATTACTTCATTTACCGATTCGCCTAAACTGTCCCACTCTGCTACGCAGTCCCTAGTTGTGCCTCTTATAAGTGGATGACATAACCGCAACTTCTGTAGTCATGACCACCGTAAAAATTGTTTTAGGGGTGGTGGTGGTGAAAACCATTTATTGAAACTATTTACATTTGAGAGAGAGGGACGACCTTAAGGGCCGACCCTTTACAAGCTCTACGAGGAGTCCCTAGTCCGGGACCGCTGTGGCTTCTGCGGTGGCCCGCGCCTTGGCCATGAGTGCTATTTGGCCTGCCAAGGCCGAGCAGCCGAGCAGGACAGCCTCCCAGCTCTTTCGGGCAGGGGTTGTAGGGGAAGTGGTTGGTGGGACCGCCGGGTTAGAAGGGCACGCCCACACCACGTGGAAAGTATCCGCAAGCGGATGGGCACAGTGCGGGCATTCCCCGAAGAAGGCCGGATTGAAGTGCTTAAGTATAGCCGGGCACAATACTGTGTTGGTGTAAAGGCGCAAGAGCCAGCGCTCGTCAGACTTAGTCAGGTCCGGCACTGGGGGCGGAAATCGGAGCCTGTTCGATTTGTACATCGCTGTAATTTCGCGAAAGGAGGTTACCAGATTAGGTTCTGGATCATCAGGCGATGCAGTGCGAGGCGGGTCCCGGAAATCAAGCGCGCGGGCCGAGGCATTGGTAGCCTCGTTACCCCCTAGTCGTGCGTGAGCTGGGGTCCAGATGACGAAACGTGTGTTTGGGCGGTCCATGTAATCACAGCGCTTAAGGATTCGAGCAGCGCGAACGGTGATACGACCCTTAGCAAGATTCTGACACGCGCTTCACGAATCGGTAATAATAAACCGAGATGCGGGGTCCGCTGCGGCGAAAGCTATGGCGACTTGCTCCGCATGAGTGATGTCCGTGGCTCGAAGTGTGAGCCCTTGGACATGCACGTTTTGATGGACTACGGCCGCCGTGTACCACCCCCCAGTGAGGGCCGGACGCGTCCGTATAGAAGACTCCAAGACGGGACCCATAGCGTCCCTGCAAAGCTGTAACCCGCGCAGTTCGCCTGTCTACGTGAGTCCTCCTTGCCATGTTTTGGGGCAGA